GTTGGCAGCGGAGGCAGGACTCCATCCCGAGTCAGATGGCAACGCAGGCCTCTCAACCATCGATTCCCCCGCCCCCAGCAGCAGTTTCCAAAAGTGTTTCGTCATGGGCACCCCCTGAAATAATTTTGGAAAAAGTCTGTACACCTCCTGGCATAATGTTAAATTGATATCTAAACTTTATCATTCTAAGTTCAAACAGTTACACACTATGTCATTTCCAGCAGATTGTATATGCTGATATTTTAACAACAAAACTGCACATATGATTTTTTTTTTTTTTATGTGGGCCGTGAGCACAGCATGGCTGCCACTAGAGGTGTAGGTCCACACCAGGAGCCAAACCCAGGCCCTGGAAGTGAGGTACGCTGAACTTAACCACTAGGCCACTGGGGCTGGCCCTTTAAATTTTTTTTTTTTTCAGTTTATAATAGTTTACAACATTGTGAAATTTCACTTGTACATTATTTCTTCTCTGTCACCACCTAAGTGCACCCTTTCACCCCCTGTGCCCACCCCCCCACCCCCCTTGCCCTGGTAACCATTGAACTGTTTTCTTTGTCCACGTGTTTGCTTATATTCCACATGTGAGTGAAATCATCTGGTCTTTGTCCTTCTCAGACTGGCTTATTTCGCTTGGCATTGTTCCCTCCGGGTCCATCCATGTTGTTGCAAATGGGATGCATTTGTCCTTTTTATGGCTGAGTAGTATTCCATTGTATATATACAGACCACATCTTCTTTATCCAATCATCAGTTGATGGGCAGTTGGATAGTTTCCATGTCTTGGCTGTTGTGAATAGTGCTGCGATAAACATAGGGGTGCATATGTTACTTTGGAGTGTTGATTTCAAGTTGTTTGGGTAGATACCCAGTAGTGGGATAGCTGGGTCTATGGTAGTTCTATTTTTAGTTTTTTTGAGGAATCTCCATAGTGTTTTCCATAGTGGCTGCACCAGTTTGCATTCCCACCAGCAGTGTATGAGGGTTCCCTTTTCTCCACATCCTCTCCGACATTTGTTATTTTTAGTCTTAGTGATTATAGCCAATCTAACAGGTGTAAGGTGGTATCTTAGTATAGTTTTGATTTGCATTTCCCTGATGGTTCGTGATGTTGAACATCTTTTCATGTGTTTATTAGCAATCTGTATATCTTCTTTGGAAAAATATCTGTTCATCTCCTCTGCCCATTTTTTGAACAGACTGTTGTTTTATGGTTCAGTTGTGTGAGCTCCTTATATGTTATGGAGATTAACCCCTTATCGGATACATGTTTTGCAAATATTTTCTCCTAATTGGTGGGTTGTCTTTTTGTTTTGATCCTAGTTTCTTTGGCTTTGCAGAAGCTCTTTAGTCTGATGAAGTCCCACTTGTCTACTTTTTCTTTTCTTTCTCTTGTCTGAGAAGACATGGTATTTGAAAAGATCCTTTTAAGTTCGATGTCAAAGAGTGTACTACCTATATTATCTTCCAGGAGTTTTATGGTTTCAGGACTTATCTTCAAGTCTTTGATCCATTTTGAGTTTATTTTTGTGTATGGCGTGAAATAGTGGTCTACTTTCATTCTTTTGCATGTGGCTGTCCAGTTTTCCCAACACCATTTATTGAAGAGACTGTCTTTTCTCCATTGTATGGTCTTGGCACCTTTGTCGAAGATTTTAGCTGTCCATATACGTGTGGTTTTATTTCTTGGCTTTCAGTTCTGTTCCATTGATCTGTGTGTCTGTTTCTGTACCAGTACAATGCCGTTTTGATCACTATAGCTTTGTAGTATATTTTGAAGTCAGGGACTGTGATGCCTCCAGCTTTGTTCCTTTTTCTCAGTATTGCTTTAGCAATTCGGGGTCTTTGGTTGCCTCATATGAATTTTAGGATTCTTTGTTCTATTTCCGTGAAGAATGTCATTGGGATTCTGATTGGGATTGCATTGAATCTCTAGATTGCTTTGGGTAGCATGGACATTTTAACTATGTTTATTCTTCTGACCCATGTGCGTGGAATCTCTTTCCATATGTTTATATCATCATCTATTTCCTTCAATAATGTCCTATAGTTTTCATTGTGTAAGTCCTTCACCTCCTTAGTTAAATTTGTTCCTAGGTACTTTGTTCTTTCTGTTGTGATTGTAAATGGAATTGTATTCTGGAATTCTCTTTCTGTAAGTTCGTTATTAGAGTACAGAAATGCAACTGATTTTTGTAAGTTGATTTTGTACCCCGAAACTTTACTGTAGTTGTTAATTATTTCTAATAATTTTCTGATGGATTCTTTAGGGTTTTCTACATAGAAGATCGTGTCGTCTGCAAACAGCAAGAGTTTCACTTCTTCATTCCCTATTTGGATTCCTTTTATTCCTTTTTCTTGCCTAATTTCTCTGGCCAAAACCTCCAGTACCATGTTGAGTAAGGGTGGTGATAGTGGGCATCCTTGTCTTGTTCCTGTTCTCAGAGGGATGGCATTCAGTTTTTCCCCATTGAGTATGATGTTGGCTGTGGGTTTGTCTTATATGGCCTTTATTATTCTGAGGTAATTTCCTTCTAGCCCCCTTTTGTTATGAGTTTTTATCATAAATGGCTGTAGGATCTTGTCAAAAAAATTGCATATATGATTTTTTAACATGCATCCAGTGAACTCGAGATAGCCTACGGATTCCATACAAACCATAATCTAATTTAAATATACATAATAAGCTCCTCTTTAACACAAGTTTACATTTATTTTCCTCCCTTAACTCATATTTCCATTCTACTTCCCCCTACAGAATTTTATCCTCATACAACACATATTTTATGTCTGCATGTCTGTTATTGATCACCCTAACATGCATCTCAGCAATAAAAATATATACATAAATTGAAATTTTTTTGTTTCCTGTGACCATAAGGGTCTAAGTGTCAAAATTTTCTTCTAAATTGACATATCATTATTTTTATTAGTATACAATTAGTCAAAAATTATAAATTTATTTATAGATTTGAAGAATAATTATTAAATGGAAAAACATAAAATTTTATCAAAAACAAATACCCGCGAGATAGATGCGATTTTCTAATCCCACTTCGTTCGTGTGTGGGTCACCAGCTATTACTTTTTGCTAGAATGAGGTGGGGTTCAGCATGAATTCTGTTCATATTTTTTGTATTTACAGATGTAAAAATGTTGAGAAACTTTGTTCACATGAAGTAAAAAAGAATGGAAAGAGTTTTGTTTCAGTACTAAAACTTAATTCCTTAAATAATTTCAGGGGGCCGGCCTGGTGGCGCAGTGGTTAAGTGCGCACATTCCACTTTGGCGGCCGGGAGTTCACCGGTTCAGATCCCAGGGGTGGACATGGCACCGCTTGGCAAGCCATGCTGTGGTAGGCGTCCCACATATAAAGTGGAGGAAGACGGGCACGGATGTGAGCTCAGGGCCAGTCTTCCTCAGCGAAAAGAGGAGGATTGGCAGCAGATGTTAGCTCAGGGCTAATCTTCTTCCTCAAAAAAAAAAACAACAACAACAATTTCAGGTTATATCCTAAAAAGTCACTTCTCATCCCTCTATCAGCTGGTTAGGTCCTCTTCCGGTTTTGAATTGGAAGCCACAGTCATTGGTCATTAGAGACTTTCACTGTCTCAACTTGTAAACCAGTGTTTTCAGTCGAACATTCCCTTTATTTGCAGTGCTGGAGGTTTTCGCACCCAAGTAGTGAGATCCTGAAGGTGGCAGAAGAGCACATGGGAAAGGGGAGATCAGAAATGAGCCATGGCCTGACCCCCCCGACAGCAGCTTGTGTTCCACTTGATCAATATTAGGACATTTTTATGGACCTCTGGGGTACATGTCCAAGTGACGTTTGATGGGGCTTAGATTTGATCTGATAGGCAGTAGAGGTTGTTGTAAGCCCATTTTACAGAAGGTAAGTGTATGAGCGTGAGAGTGTGTGTGTGTGTGTGTGTGTGTGTGTGTGTAGAGGGCTCAGGGCTGCCTGAGCAGAGTAACTTAATGGAAACTTGTGAGTTAGCCGTCTCCCATGGCACTGGATGGACCCCGGCAGCGAGACCACCTGGGAAACCCATGAAACAGTCCTGGCCGAGGGTGATGAAAGTAGGTCCTGGGAGATGGTTGCAGAGACCAAGAGGAGGGAGCCACGTGGAGACAGAGTCTACAAGAGCAGCCAGGCCTTGGGTCTGCTTAACTGCCAAGCACAAAGAGGGAAGCAAAGTCACTCCAAATTAGGATGAGCAAGGTCCAGAAACATCCGGTGCTACCACCAGGCAGGAAGACAGCAAAGAGGGGGCCTGTTTGGGGGAACCCAATAAACTCCGTTTTTGTACATTTTGTATTACGCAAATAAGTGTGCTCATTATAAAATACGTACACACATACAAACTGTATCAGTCAGCTATTCCCACACTGCGCTGGTGCTGCTTAACAAGTCACCCCAAACATAATGGTTTAAAGAACAAGTGTGCTTTTAAAAAATAGCTTTATTGAAATATGATTCACATCCTATACAATTCACCCATTTAAAGCGTACAATTCAATGGCTTCTGTGTACAGCCATTTAACAACAGGGATGCGTTCTGAGAAATGCGTCGTCATTAGGCAATTTCGTCGTCGTGTGAACATCAGAGAGTATACGTACACACACCTAGAAGGCAGAGCCTCCTACACACCTAGGCTACATGGTACTAATCTTACGGGACCACTGTCGTATATTTGGTCCATCGTTGTGGTTCATGACTGTATGTATTACATCGTTTTTTGAAATTGTGGTAAAATATATATAACACGAAATCTACCATTTTAACCATTTTTAGGTGCCCAGTTCAGTGGCATTAAGTACATTCTCAATGTTGTGCAAGTCTCAACTATTTCGAAAACCTTTTCATCCCCCGAAGCCGAAACTCTGTACCCATTAAGTAATTAACTCCCCATTCGCCTCTCCCTCCAGCCCCTGGTAGCCTCTGGTCTACTTTCTATGGATTTGCCTATTCTAAATATTTCACACAAATGGAATCAGACAATATTGGTCCTTTGTGTCTGGCTGACTTCACTCAGCATAATGCTTTCCAGGTAAGTGTGTATTTTTCTTGCTCCTGGGTATGTGAGTTACTGGGCTAGCTCCAGGCTGAGGTTGGGCTCAGTTCTGCTTGTCACATCTCCACGTTCTCCTTGGACCAGCCTTTCCCTGGGATGTATTCTTCTCACTGGGGGTCACAGCATCCCAAGAGACCAAGCTCTGCCAAGTAAGCACATTGAAGGTGTCTGCTCTGGGTGCCTCCGTTGAGTTCCATTGGCCAAACCAAGTCACCTGGCCAAGTTCAACATCCCTGGGGCTGGGAAATGTACTCGGCCCACGGTGGGAGAGGCTGTAAAGCCAGGGCGAGGGAGAGAGTGAAGAACTGAGCACTCTTCCCACCCTCGCCCCTCAACATATTGTCCTGTGACTGACTTTCCCCACTCAACAATAGCTGGAAACTCTTTCCCTGCCAATACACGTAGATCTTCCTGTTCTTTCTAACCACAACAGACTGTCTCTGAGAAGACGAGATCAGGACACAGACGCCAACAAAAAAGACCATGTGAAGACGCGGGAGGAAGACGGCCACCTGCAAGCCGCGAGAGAGGACTCAGAAGAAACCAACCCTTTTAACACCCTGATCTGGGCCTCCCAGTGCCCAGAACTGTGAGAGAACAAATTTCTCTTGTTTAAGCCCCACAGTCTGTGGTCCTTAGTGATGGAGCCCGAGCTGCTCTAGGCCTTCTAATTCTAGAACATCGAATTCTTCCCAGTTAGGAACAAATACAGTAGCAAACATTCCTGTGCATGTTGACAGTGGAAGTCTAAGGAGCTTGTGGACAGCCTGAAACTATGTTCTGTCCTGAATTTGGGCAGGTTTTCTGTTTCACCCCCAGAAGCTCCAAGATTTGTCTGTGTTGGGGGTGTTCACGGGTGTTAAGAGCTGGGACTTTTGTTTTCACCCCTGACCTCTCCCTGAGCTTCCCTCCCACCCACGGGTCACTGTCTCCATCGGCTCGGCGGGGGTCACAACCCGATAGTGGGCTGCATCTGAGCTGGCCGCGGCCCACAGCCTGTCTTTCCTCTCACGGTCCTCTGCGGTCGCTGCTCCAGTGGGAGGGAAGTCAGGGTGAGTGGCTTCCAGAATCCATGCTCACTGTGACTCTCATCAGCTTTCCAGTCCTCTCTGCTTAAAAAAAAATAAAACTCTAGAGGGAGTCCAGAGGGCAGGTGAGGGGAGAGGTTATTGGGGAAAGAAGGAGGCTGGGCAGAAAGGCCCCATTTCAGGAGAAAGTTCTCCTGTGGTACTTTGAGAGGCAGCAAAGGGTTCCCAGGCCTGGCCCCTTCCCAACCAGGACTGGGGGTGGTGTAGGACCCCGCTGTGGCCCACGTGTCTCCTCTCAGTATTCTGGCTGTGACAAGCCAGAAGCGAGGGTGCAGCCAGCTGGGCAAGTTCAGGGAGGCCGAGTGCAGGGCGGGAGGAACAGCCAACAGTTCTTTTGTCATCTATCCAGGGCAGCGAAAGGCCACGTCCTCCCAGCTCCATTTGTGACTGGACGAGCGGACCGCACCGTGTGAGTCAGCCTGTTGTGGAAGCGTCTGAGAGTCATTGCTCTGACTGTGCTGACGAAGCACAGAGAAGAAGGAAGGCCTGACCCCTGCCAGCCCGGATGTTCCCTGAGGGCCTCTTGCTCTTCTCCACACTGTGGCCAGAGGCCTCTGTCACAGGCATTAATCTGGGCTTGTCTGTGTCCTGCCTAACAGCTTCAGGAGGAAGTCACCCTGTGCCCCAGCGCCGAGGCCTGCCCTCTGGAACTTGTCTCTTTGAGGTCCTCACCACGCCTCCAGCCCTGGGCTGGGCCAGGACACCCGGCTCTGTATTCTCACAGCTCTTGCTCCCCTGACCTTAACACTCATCCCAGCTGGAGGTTGGAGGTCGTGACTCCTCCTTTGCTGTCTTTCCCAGTGGAGTGTAGGCCCCTCCACAGCGGGGGCCAAGCTGTAGGCTGTGCAGAGCCCACGGCGGGCCCACCGGCATTTGATGATGACAGGAAGCGCTCCTCACATTCCACTGTAACTGCACGTCTTTCTTTGAGGGCAGACCTGCAGTTGGTTCATTTCTATATCCTCAGCTTTTACTCTGATCAAAGACCTGGCTCCACATTCCAAAGGTGTGTGGGCTCTGATTTCAGTGACCAGGTAGGCCTTTCCGTGACCTGGCCGGGAACGGGCTCCAAGGTCCATCGCCCACGCTCCACATGCGGTGTGGGGAGCACAGCAAGGTCTCCTACCCTGAGGGAAGGAAAGGGTTACAGCACTCACCTCTCAGGGCCCTCCCACTCCACCCCCTGCGACAGGTGAGACAGATGAGGGTAGTGGGTGTGGTCCCAGCAGCCCTGGGGCCCCAAGGAGCCGGGCCTCTCCTTCCAGGTTTAGATCTGGAACAGGGCCATGGTTTTGTCCACAGTTCCAACAGGTGTAATGGCAATGTCAGGGGGTCACAGTGAGTGTCCTGGCTCCCCCGGCTGTGTTGAGACACAGAGCCATGAGGCCCCCTTCTTCACAGGTCTCATGGGTGTCGTGGTTCCTCCCTGAGGCAGCCAGGGGCTGGGCTGCTTGAACATCAATCCTTTCAAATCATATCATTAAAATCTACTCCCACACCTGTATTTCAAAGATAACATTTGTGCCTGAAATTGCCACAACTACATTATGGCAAAGTCACATCATCTGGCTCATAATTTAAGGCTTAGAGGCTTCAACTAATGTAGGTGACAGTCTGGTGGCCAAAAGGAGAAAGTCTGATTACCAAGTGGCATTTGCTGGGAGGTCTGGGTCCCCTCCAGCACCTCACGCACATGTGCATAAGAGGCACTCAGTGAGTGTTTGTGGAATCTATGAATGATATGACGTTTCTATCCTGAGTCTCAGGGTCTTTTTCTATTCAGAAATCTGTCCCCAGACCAGCCGGGTGGCTCAATGGTTAAGTTCAGGGGCTCCACTTCAGCAGCCCGGGGTTCACAGGTTTGGCTCCTGGGCATAGACCTAGCACCACTCGTTAAGCCACGCTGTGGAGGCATCCCACATAAAATAGAGGAAGATTGGTGCAGATGTCAGCTCAGCAACAATCTCCCTCACAAAAAAAAAAGAAAAGAAATCTATCCCCAATTATCACACACACTCACCACAGAGCAGGTCTTTGCTCACTGAAGGGAAGCAGGGCGTTGGCCCCAGTGAGCTGATTCAGCCTTACAATCTTTAAGTCACCAGAGCCAAAGAGGGGTGCAGGTGGGAATCTTCTAGAACATTGCTTTTCTCTGCAGAAAGAGGCAATTAGCTAGTGTGTGGGGGGGTGGGGGGAGATGTAGAAGGAATACAGCCCATTAGGTCTACAGAAGTGGCTGAAGCTGGTATTTCTGCTTTCCCTTGGGATAGGGGCTGCTGGAAGGTGCCCCTCCCACCCAACAGTGGGATAGCCGCTGGGGTCAAAGTGGTGAACTTTGGAGACAGAATTGGTTCCTCCCTAATTAAGAGATGTTAAGTAGGTAAACAAACACTGCGTAAGTGCTACAAAGGAGATGCTACGTCCTTCTTATCATATCATCACATCACTCCTTCTTCCCTCCCCAGAGTTAAGCTGTGGTGGGTCCCAGGATCTAATCTACACTGTTGCCACAGCACCCAAGAAAATGTTAAAAATTACCATCTCTAGTGCTGTGACTATGGAAGATGCTTGATTTTTTTCCTATCATATGAATGCGTTTTATTTTATTTGTTTTTGCCAAATTTTTATAATGAACATGTCATATTCACAAAACAAAGGGCTAAAGCCAATAGAGTTATTTTCAGAAGAAAGGAGACTGAGTGGATTCCTGTAGAGGAGAAAATTTTCCCAGCCCAGCTTGGAGGGAGGGGCCTTCTGATGATCCCGTCCAGCCTGATGGCCACCGTGGGCGGGTTCTGACCACTGGGTGACCTGCACCCAGGGTTATGTGAAATTCATGAGAACCATTTCTAAGTGGTTAAAGAAAGATGAGCTACTTATAAATTCCTTCCTTTAACAGCTGATATCTTCAACCTTCCTTCCCCACTCACTCTCAGCTATGTAGGGGAGGGGCGGGGGAGGTGGTAGAAATGGGGGAACCCCAGTCCTCTTGCTCCCACTCCTGCTCCCACACAAAGCTGGGCTGGCACAGGCAGCTTATTCCAGTGCAGTGGACTTCCCTGAAAACGAGCCAGAACTTCGTGAGTTCCCATGGCGGTCCTGGCCTGGGCCAGGGGCTGTGCTGTAATGAAAGAGCAGACGTTATCATCTTCATTCTAGAGAAAGGACAATTTCATCAGAAAGACAAAGCACAAGCAAAATAAACATCTGAAGAACACTGGCCCAAATAATGTAATTAGATAGGATTTCAGGGATTGAATTCTTTTTGTATTACAAAATACATCTTATTTTGGTTTCACAAATAATGCTTATATGAAAAAACTTTTCTCCATACGTTCACCCAGGGCGGCTTCATGGATGTGCAACCTATGCGGTCACACGTGCTCAGAAGGGTCCCACACTTGGTGTAATGCTCTGCCGTCACCATCTTGAAATTCTCAACGATTTGATCGTTGAACTTGGGTTTTGTAAGTGAACTCCATCGGTGGAGGGAGCAGAAGAGATGCACGCACTATGCCAGTCCACAGTTCCTTGCTGACCACTCACATATGGTGTTCACCGTGCCCTGTGAGCGCTGAACTGGGGGGACCCACGCCGCGTGGGAGGTCAGCAAGACACAGTGAAGACAAAGTAAGTGTCTTACATCTCTGACTAGGTGGGGCTGATAACAGACCCAAGATGTCACACTTTCTGTTGGGACCAGAATTTGCTTCAAATGCAGAAAAAGGCAATGGCGTTCAAAGGACATAAACGACCAAGGACTTCTGCCACATGCTTTCTTACTCGTGTGACTTCCCTGTATTAGCCAACCACTTCATGCTGAAAACGACGACATAGAAGGAAAGAGAAAGAAGATAGTGCCTTCTCTTTTCTGTCCTTCCTTACTCATCAGTGAGCCAAAGGTAGAGAATAGGGTAGAATGTGCGCACGTTAGGAAGTGAAATAAACACAGTGGAGTATTTCCACTTTCTAGTAAGAACGAAATACAGATGCGTGTACAAACAAAACACAGACTGTGTAATTTCACCCATTCTACATACAAGTTAAAAGCTCTCATATTTGCATTTAAAATGACATTGCACAATATAAAAATGAAAGATAAAATTCATGCTAATAATTCTAATGTTTAATTTTTCTTTACTTAACAACATTAAAGAGCAAATTAAAAAACACTATGAGAAGCTGAGAGAAAGACTACAGGAGAAGGGAAAAAGCTTTCTATTTCAACACCATCTATGGCACTTTCTTCCTTTTGTTTTGAACAAGGGCCCCACGTTTTCATTTTGCACTGGGCCCTGCAAATTGTGGAGTCGGCCCTGCTGTCACCAGGAATGGATATTATCTTTTTATTATTATTATTTTTTTTTAATTCTTTTTTTATTTTTTTGAGGAAGATTAGCCCTGAGCTAACATCTGCTGCCAATCCTCCTCTTTTTGCTGAGGAAGGCTGGCCCTGAGCTAACATCTGTGCCCATCTTCCTCTACTTTATATGTGGGACGCCTGCCACAGGATGGCTTGACAACAGGTGCGTAGGTCTGCACCCAGGATCCAAACCAGCGAACCCCGGGCCACCAAAGCGGAAAGTACGAACTTAACCACTGCACGACTGTGCCAGCCCTATTGATCTTTAAAGTCTGTGCTCTAACAAAGGTACAGAGCTACTGGAAGTCTCATGCATTGCTGGTGAGCATGAAAAGGGTACAGGACTTCAGGAAGCAGTTTGGCAGTTCCTTATAAAGTGATCTACACACCTACTGCAGACCCAGCAGCCTCTCCCCTGGGTATTTATCTAAGTGAAATGGAAACTTATGTTCATACAAAAACCTACATATGAGTATTTATAGTGGCTTTATTCATAAATGCACAAAACTAGAAACAGCCCAGCGTCCTTCAGCTGGGAAACAGATAAACTGTGGTACATCCATGCAATAAAATACTACTTAGCAATAACGAGTAGCCAACCACTGACACATGCCACAATATGGATGAATCCCAAGTGCGTTATGCTAAGCGGAAGAAGCCAGGCACAAAAGGCTCACACTATGGGATTCCACTTATAGAACATTCTGGAATAAGCAAACACTGCTCAGTGGTTGCCAGGGGCTGAGGGTGGGGGAAGCAGTTGACTACAGAAGAGAGTGGGGATTTTTTACAGTGATGGAAATATTCTATATTTGATCGTGGTAGTAGTTACACAACTGTATGCATTTCTCAAAACTCATGGAGTTCATATAGTAACACGGGTAAATTTTACCCCATCTAAGTTATACCTTAATTTAAGAAAAGCTTCTGCAAATTTACTAGCTAAAAAAAATGGGAGCTCCCATGGTTTTTAATGATGTCGGAAATCTTGAGCAATGAACCAGGAACTCGAAAATAAAAAACTTGAGAAAGCAAAGGGACTTTCCAGCTGCAGGCCCCTGGGAATTAAGCCGTGGTTTTGCTGGGGACCAATGAGGGACTCACTGAGGATAGCCGGGAGCAACTGCTCCCATGAAAAGCAACTGTAGAAGGTCCTGGGGGTGGGTGGGTGGGGTGTAGCGTACCTGGCTGCACATCCTGTCCCCTGGTGCCCATTTCCGCTCCCCCCAGGCCCTGGCCCACCAGCAGAAGCAGCAGCTGCAGGAGCTCCTTCCTGCCGGTGCCGAGCTGATTATATGCAGAATGGATTGATTGGTGTTGACAGGGAGCTATTTACCCATCTAATTAATTATGCCAACTAATTTTCAGCTTAATTGTGCTTCTCGGGTCACTGGGTAATGAGACTACAATTTTCTTGCTGCTACAGGCCTTGATAGAGAAGTGGGAGGGAGAAGGTGGCAGCTGCTCCTTGAGGTCAAACAGAAGGCACCCTGTTCCTCCAGGCCCTTGGGCCCACAGCCCGGGCTCTCAGCCCTGGCTGCCCCCCAGCAGGGATGCGTCTAGAATCCTCTTTGTGCATGTTCTACCTGTGTAAGCCGGCCTCTGGCCCGGGAGCACAGAGCCCTGTATCCACCAACAAATGTCGAGTAAATGCCTGCCCTGTGCCAGTCCCAGCCAAAAAGTTCAGTCATGTCTTGCCTGTGCCCCATCCGCCACCCAAAATTGCTCCAACCATCAATTCCAGAATCGGCCTGCAGATGGGAGTGAGGGCTTTGAAGACAAGCCCAATCCAGGGTCTGCGGCTGGGTCCTTGAAGAATTGACTTCACCTCCCTGTGCCTCAGTTTCCTCAGCTACAAAAAGTCTGCAGGGCTGTAATAGGGTGCAGTGTGTATGTAACGGGACTGCCCACTCCCTCCCAGGTGCCTGATGACATCCTCTCCCCGCCTCTCCCCAGCTGTCCCATCTGCTTGTCTTATAGAATGTCTCATAGCCTGGATTTGTCTGATTGTTTCCTCCTTGTGGGATCACCTAAAAAATAAATATTTTTTTAGGTCAAAATTCAGGGGCCGGTGTGGTGGCGTAGTGGTTACGTTCACATGCTCTGCTTCGGTGGCCCAGGGTTTGTGTGTTTGGACCCTGGGCACGGACCTAGGCACTGTTCCTCATGCCATGCTGTGGCAGCATCCCACATACAAAAATAGAGGAAGATTGGCACAGATGTTAGCTCAAGGACAATCTTCCACAAGCAAAAAGGGGAGGATGGGCAACAGATGTTAGCCCAGGGCCAATCTTCCTCACCACACACACACACAAAAAAAGTCAAAATTCAGGTTATACATCTTTGATAGGAATATCACGGAAGTGATGCTGGGCTCTTCTCATTGCATCCCATTAGGTGGCTCAAGATTTCCATTCGTCCCACTATTGATGAGGATCACTCTGATCACTTGATTAGGGTGGTGTCCAACAGGCTTCTCCATGTAGTTTCTTCTTCCTTCTTTGTAATTATTAAGTATTTTATGGGGAATGTATTGAAAACTACTTAAATACCTGTTGTTCCTCAAACTTTCAACGTATTTATTTATATCAGTCTGGACTCATGGTTTCCTACTTTATTTCATGTTTATAATCCTTTATTACCATTATTTTGATGCTTAAGTTGTCCTAGGTTTAGCGAGCAGGAGCCCCTTCAAGCTGGCTTGCATCTTTTTGACATGACTTCATCATTCTTTGTGGCACAGGATATTCCAGGATCATCTTGTATGTTCCCTGCCCCGGGCGTGAAAACAGCCATTTCTCCCAGGAGCCCTGGGCGCTGGGTGTGGACATTGCTGCAGGCGCGTCACTGTCAGTGGACAGATCTAGGGAACTAGGGCATAAATATATATCTTTATATAATATGTCTGTATTTTACATCACTCATTTTATATATTTATTTATAATTTTTATATTATATATTAGAATTCATATAATTTCTAAAGTGTTTAAATTTATCTATATTGGAAGCTGTGAGTTCAATCAGTGTCTCCAGTTCATAGTCAGCCCTAAAGAGTTCATTCTGGTTTCCCCTTCTGTATTTGTCACTCCCTAGTCCCTGAGAGTAGGACACGTAGTTTCCATCGTCCTTAATATATTTCCTTATTTGCTCAATGCCCCTGTCTGTAACCAGTCTAGCATCTCCCTGGCCACTTCTCCCGGCTCAACCTCTGATACCCATTCCAGGCTGCTCCCCACCCCGTGCAGACGCCCCTCACTCTGCACCTCCTCATCCTACTTGGCCTCTGACACCTGCTATGGGCCTCCAGTCCTCTTCCCACCAGGCCCCTCCCTACCAGGCGCCCTCCCTTGCTCCAACCCACCCAAGGACTCTAGGACTGAACTGTTCAGGAAGAAAAGGCAGAAGGGGAGGGACAGGGAGGGAGAAGCCTGGCCCTTTTTTAATGATATGAAAAATACGCTTCTGAGTACTGTTAAGCTATAAAAGAAGGCAAGATATAAAATTGCACATGTGGTATAATATCAACTATGTAAAAAGCTCAGAAAAAAATACTGGCGCTGTCTTAGGCTGAAGAGTGGAGCAGAAGCGGAACGAGGTTTGCTCACTGGCTACCCAGGCCTGCTCCCTTGGGTCTCACGCCCTTTGAGGTTCATCCTGTGAAAGAGGCAGACGGCACTGCGGTTACCTGGGGGACTCTGGGGCCAGACCACCCGCGTGTAGCTCCTGGCAGTGCCACTTCCTGGCCAGGTGACCTCAGGCAAGGTAGTTAGGTAAGCTCTGTGCTTCAGTTCGCTTCAACCGCGAAGCAGAAATGGCCACAGCACTCCCTCGCAGGCCTCTGAGGACCGCACGCCTTAACACATGCAAAGCACTGAGATCAGCACCTGGCACACAGCACAGGGTCCACCATGTTAGCTGCCAGTATATGGACAGAAAAGTGAAGTTCCGTGAGTTCCCCACCCAAGGTCACAGGTTCTCACAGGCACACTCTGAACCCACTGATGCCTGATTCCGAAGGCACGCTAGCTTCTTGCCATTGCACCACTCGAGGAATGAAGTGCAGGGGGGGAGATGAGGCAGCGCGCCCATAACTACTGCAAGACTGGCCGAGACAAGACCTGCGAGCACCATGAAGGCTCAGAGGAGGAGCAATGACACCTGCCTGGGAATGGTCAGGAAGGCTCCCTCGCATAGGTGGGAATGGAGATCGACCTTGAACGCTGAGAAAGATGCGAATAGGTTGTGATGGTGGAGGCAAGGACTTCCAGCTGAGGGTACAGGCTGAACAAAGGCAGGAGACTGGACCTCCCACATGGACAAGGTCCGTCATCCGCTAGGGCCGGGGTCCTAGACGGGGATTCCTCAGTCTCAGCACTATTGACATTTGGGGCCATGTAGTTCTTTACTGTGAGGCTGTCTGGGCATCGTAGAATGTGGCAGCAGCTCTGGCTTATAGCCACTTGATGCCAGGAGCATCACTCCCCCAGTTGTGACAACCAAAAGTGTCTCCAGACACTGCCAGAGGCCCCCTGGGTGGGGGCCAAAATCACCCGCAGTTGAGAACCATCACCCCAGGTAAATGGAATTCTCAGGAAGCCCCCAAACCACTCCTTTGCTAACAGGAGCGTGGCTTCTCATTCTTTGCCTCGTTGTGGAGTGTCTTCATGAGCAGGAAGGACTACGCTGCAGGCCGCAGGAAGGGAGAGGGTAAGTCAGCCCTCCGTCATCCACAGTGCCTGGAACCGAGCGCTCAGGATTTCTCAGCATGTGAAGGTGTGGCTCAACAGCCAGCCAGCCTTCCTGGTCCAGAAGCGCCATCCCAGATGAGGAATTTGTTGTTTCAGCCAGCAGACCAGCAAGAATGATGACATTTCACAAGGCCGGGGCTGCAGAGGAGAGGAGATGAGGGCAATGCTGATGACAGCACCCGGCCAGCTATGTGACTTTGAGAACAGTCACTTCCCCTTTCTGGGTACAGTTTTCTCATCAGTAAAGCGGAGCAGTTGCGGGACATCTGAGATTTCTGCCAGGCGAGCGCTTCTCTTTGAGCCCTGTAAAGAGCAGTGAGGGGACGGTTTCCAGCTCACAGGGAATGAGTTCTGTGATCAACTAGTAATGTCTGCTAGGAGCACAGGAATGGGGGGATCAGGTGTGACGACATGCATGGAATATATTTGCTGTCTATTCTAAAGGATTCATCTAGAATGTCTGGGGTCTGTGTGAGGGCAAGGAGCTGTGGACGGGAGAGCAGGGCTCTTCTTCCTCCAGCATCTCTAGAGGGGAAAGCCCCCCCTCAAGATTCTATTTTAAAATAAGAGCTGCTCTGCAAGTGGACAGGAGAAAATGGTCCCTACAGGCCATGGAGCCCCGCCTCTGTCTCAGGGGACCCTCAATCATTTGTTCATCCAACAAAGAGAATTAGGCCCAGGCGAGAGGAGAACTCCAGGACATCCACCACTTCTTTCCTTCTCCCCTACACACAATCTGGAACTGATAAGAGGATTTGGATTGTGCTGAGGGTAGAAAGACAAAGGGGGGAGGAAGGGAAAGAGTGAAGTTTGGCACAGTGGAAAGTACATGGGCTTTGGAGGGACAGTGCCCAGGCTCTGCCACTTACCAGCTGTGTGATCTTGGGCAACTTACTCAACCTCTCTGAGCCTTGGTCGAAATAAGGCCTAACAATCCGTGTCTCCCTCACCACAGAGGGCCAGCATGCAGTGAGCACTCATGGATGGCCAAGTGTAGGAGAGGGCAGGCTGGAATGTTCACACAGCTCACAAACATGCAGGCTCTCAGATGCTAAGCTCAGGAACTCCTCCTCGGCCTGGGGTCTGGACCCGTGTGACGCAGAAGCAGAGAATGAGCTGAGGAGGACAAGGACGAGACCAGAGAGGAGGGAAGATCCGAGGAGAATGTGGGAAAGAGGTTAAGTCAACCGCACAAGCAAGAGTTGGCAGAAGGGAGAAGGAAGCGGGCCTGGAGCCAAGGGGGCGATAGGGAGAGAGCTTCCTGAAGGTTCCAGGGACTGGGGGAGGAGCTAAAACGGAATAAAGGCAGGGCTGCCCGAGGTCATGAATCAGATTCCCTCAATGTCTGTCAAAAGAGGAGAAGAAATTCCTTTTAAATTCCTTTTCTCCTCTTTGCACTGTGCTTCAAGGGTTCTACTCCACTCCTGGACTGAGCCACTTGGGCCACCGCTCCGGCGGGGCTGCAGACACTCGTGGGCATTTTCCTCCCAAGAGGAGACGTGCCACAGGGAGACAACTGGCTCTTACTAGATACCAGTTATTTGAAGGCCGAGCGGGCCTGGTTTTCTGGCATGTTCTCTTAGCAGATATCGTCAGGGCCCGGCCTTATGGCTTCAGCACTCCTCACTCCCACGACAGTCTCTGACCTGCCCCTGAGCTCTCTGCCTCGAGGCTTCTCCAGCTTCAGGGCTGTACTTGGTGAGCAGTTCAGGGGGGCATTAAGGCAGCCCCTGGAGCAGCCCTCGCCCAATAGTAAATGGAGGTCGGTAGACACATTCTATAGCTTTCTCACCCTTTGGGTAGGAAAACTCTGCGATGCGTCTACACTATCTCTCAGAGGTCCCCGGCAGGACCGGACCCAGATGTTCCCAAGTGTTCCTAGACCCCAGATGTCCACAGTGGTGAGCTGCTCAGTAACATACCCACAGTAGCTCCCTTCCCTTCCCGTCTCACTCCTGCCAACCCCCACCATCCAATTAGCTACTGGTACTGGAATCCTAGTCCCAGAGTCTGTTTCTAGCAGAACCCAATTACAGAGTCAGGACTCTAGATACTGCATTCCATTGACGTGGAATTGATGCTGACTTGATCTGGAAAGAAAATGTGGCTTCTCCCTTAGCTGTTCACATTCTTTCAACACGCCTGCGACCAGTAGCCCCTCCAGCACAGACAAAGACCGATCCCACAGGTCCATGGGCCCAGATGCCGCCACATTCTTCCCCAGACACTACTGCAAGCAGCTGCTTCCCCGGGACCAGCGCTGGCCCCAGAACCGGAACCTCTCTGGGGGCTCCGTTCACACATGACCACGACAGACACAGTCCAGGAGAGACGGGAGGGAAGAGCTTTTTCAGAGGACCAGGAGGGCCAGGAGCTTGGGGTGTTCCCAAGAGAAAGGAGGGGCGCCTGGCGAACATTCTGCCTGGCCTGCCTCCAGCTTCCCTCCTCACAGGGATGGCACATCTCAGGGCAGCACCTTTCCCCCATGGGGAAACTCTTGTCTTTGAACCACTCGGTGTTTGAACGGAGGAGCACAAGGGACCCAGGGCTCAGGGGGAGGGTGCTGCAAGAGGCTCCTTGTTTTATGACAGAGGCCCGACGGTCTCCGGGAGAGTTGTGCAACCAGCAGGCGGGAAGCTGGCTCACCTTGGCCTCCCGCTGCTGCTGGGAGGAGAGGAAATCTCCCAGGGCTGAGTGTGCCAAGGCGTGATGGAGCCAGCCCTCCAGGCCCGCAGGCAGGGCGGGTGTCACTCACAGATAAGCCAACCCCTGGTGCAGAGGATGATCGCTGTGAAGCACTGCCCAGGACAGCGGGAAATCAGTCCCTCGGAGCAGGCGCGACGGGTGGCAGGTTGGGCTGGACGTGGGGAGCTTCCCCCGGGTGCCGAGAGCCTCGGTCCTCCTTTGTGGCGTGGCCCGCCTGCCCCTGCCATCAGGAAGAGCTCAAGTGGGTCTCTCCCCCACCACTCTGGGACAGGGCAGCATGAGCCGGCCAAGGCACGTGGGCAAGATCTGGAAACGCCTGGAAGATGTCAAGAGCCAGTGGGTCCGGCCAGCCAGGGCAGACTTCAGCGACAATGAGAGTGCCCGGCTGGCCACAGATGCCCTCCTGGATGGGGGGCCTGAGGCCTACTGGCAGGTGCTCAGCCAGGAAGGCGAGGTGGACTTCTTGTCCTCGGCGGAGGCCCAGTACATCCAGGCTCAGTCCAAGGGGCCCCCCTGTGCCCTGGAGTCCCCGGGAGGGGTCGAGGCAGGCCCCAAGGGACTCGACTCCTGCTCCCAGCAGTCAGGGACCTACTACCCCATGGCCTCGGAGGGCAGCGAGCCGACCCTGCTGCACACCTGGGCCTCGGCTGAGAAGCCCTACCTGAAGGAGAAGTCCAGTGCCACCGTGTACTTCCAGACGGACAAGCACAACAACATCCGAGACCTCATCCGCCGCTGCATCCACCGGACGGGGCAGGTAGCCGTGGCGGAGCCTGTCTCCTCGGCCACGGGTGGGAGGAACGGGGGGCTGGTGGAGGAGGAAGAGGGGTGCGTCCTGCTCAAAGGGATGGAGTCCAGATGGTTGGGGCTTAGCATGGAGTCTGGGGTGTTTCTCTCCGCCCCTGCCCTGGATCACTGACTTTCTGATCCCGCTTTTCACAATCCGGGTCCAGGCCACTACCACCCATCACTGGAACTCCTGCAATGGCTTCCTGCCTGGCCCTCATCTTCCATCTTGATTCCCAACCCCCCAGTCTCCATGCTGCTGTAGACACTTTTTTCATACTTCAAGTCTAACATGGTCCCTTCCCTGCTTAGAGCCTTCCATGGCTCCCAAGTGCCCACAGTGGGAAGAGCAAACCCCTTAGGATGGCTCACAACCTCTCCAGCTCCTCTGCCACCTCCTGCCGCTCTGTGCTGAGTGACCTGCCGACTCTCAAACCCGCCTTGTTTTTGTCTTCAGGCCTTTGCATGTGCTGTTCCCTCTGCCTGGGACCCCCCTCACCTTCCCTGCTCTTCACCTGACTAACGCCTTCTCCTTCTCAAGCTCCAGCCCTGGAGCCCCTTTCTCAGGAAGTCTTTCCTGAATTCCCCAGGCTGGCCGAGGGGCCTCCCCTATGTGCTTCTGAATGAAGGGGCCACTCCCCTGGGGCTCACACTTGTCCCTTGTCCTCTCAGACTCAGCTTAGTCTGCCCACAAACGACTGTGCGGCACCTGCATCCAGCCGGGGGTCAGGCAGAAGAGGGAGCAGGCAGCAGAGAAGATGCTCCCTCCCCAGAGTATTTATATTTTAATAAGTGAGTCTAGAAGAAGAAAAATCCTTTAAGACCAGAGCTTGGCTGGCAGAATTGCAGGCCGCGTGACTGGCATTGGCTCAGGAGTTCTCCCAAAGCTCCTGGAATTGCTGGGGAATTGGGAATTCAGCTGGGGAATGGGTGGAGGCCGTCTAGCTCATTCCACCCCAGGTGCACAAAATGACCATTCAGCTGAGGGTTGTGGATGCCCGCTTCTGCTTCCCGAAGCTGCAGAGGGGCAGGGTGAGAACGGACGCCAAGGAAAGAAATTTGCCATCTCTAAAACGGACGCCAAGGAAAGAAATTTGCCATCTCTAAAGATCCTCAATCTCTCTCATCACTAGCATGATTTATTTTGCCGCATTTAAAGAACTCAAAGAACAAGCTGATATGTAAGCTCCTTTTCTGCTGGGATCCCAGTCTCAAGACTGAGTCCCCTCCCAAGTCCAATACTGTGTGAAATCTAAAGACTCCAGAAAAAGCCACCAGGGGTGAGGAGGCTGTGCCTGGAAGGGGAGGGAGGGAGCCGAGTTCTGGAAAATAAATAGAAGGTGACAACGGGTGGAGTGTGGGCTTTTCATGCCACTGGGCTGCTTCAGAGCAGTATTTCATGTTTCCCTGGCAGGGCAGCATTAGGAATTGACAGATGGGCCCAGGCAGGCAGCCAGGAGTGTCGCCACCGCCTGGGGCCAGCTGCATGACCTAGGTCAAGTCCCTTGACCTCCCCAGGCCTCAGATTCCACGCTGGACTAAGGCCCCTTCCAGCTCCAAGGGCCTGTTCCTAAGGGTGTAGCTCTGGTCTGTCTGTGTGTTAGTTCAGTGCTGTCCTGAGGGGTGGGGACCAGTGGTGTTGGGGATATTCTCAACAGCAGCTGTGACCCAGCAGGTGAGACTCCCTAGAGAGAAGCCAGGCTGGGGCGTGTGAAACATAACCCCCTGGCTGAGCCCCTCTTCTTCCCCTGGGTCCCCACCCAGCAAGGCTTCCCTCTCTTTGCCTCTGTGGCCCTGAGGCTCACTGACGTCCTTTGTTCCAGCAAGACAGCATGTTATGAATTTAGGACAATACTTAAAAATCAGATTTCACCTAAGAGCAAGACTCTCTAGCTCCTCTTAGCAGGAAGGAAGAGTGGGCTCTGAGTTGTGGCCACCTGTTTGGGTAGGTCTCCTTTGCTGCAGTCCCCACCACTCTCTGTTGTCCCAGGCCCCATGAGCCTCACCCATTGTGTTGCCTGTCAGGCCCCTGCAGGCAGAGTTTGTGATATCCCTCCCATACACACACAACACACATGTACACACCCATGCACACACACACGAGGCCTCAGGGGTGGCCTGCTCCCACAGAGATGCCAGGGGTGGGGCTGGAACCCAGCCACAGGCTGTCCATAGGAGTAGGCCATGCCCCCCTATCCCCACACAGAGGTGGAGAGAAGAGGGTGGAGAGAATGGGTTTGCATTCCCTCTCTCCTCTGGCTTCAGCCCCCTGAGAGGAGAGGGGAATAGAGCCAGCCTGCTAGGTGTTTTCTGAAGTGATTCCACTCCCTAAGCATCAAGAATTCTCCCTCTTTCCCTTCATGCTCTCATTCCTTCATGCCACAAAGTCTAGCTTACAGGCCAGGCCCTGCACCCAGGAGGGCAGCGCAGAATAAGAGGCCTCCCTCCCTCTGGGGAGCTTCCTGCCAGCTGCCTGCCCGCAGGGGAGAGGCGGGGAGAGTCAGAGAGAACACGGGTGAGTGGCAGCCCCGGCCTGAGCAACCTCTGTGCCTGGGAGTGAAGAGGTGGGTGACTAAGGCAGGCTTCGCAGAAGCGGTGGCCTCTGAGTTGAGTCTCAAAGGCTGAGTAAGAGTGTGCCAGGCAGAGAGGGAAGGGAAAAGAAATTCCAGGCCTTGGGAGTGTCTACTGCAAAGGTCAGGAGGTGCGAGAGGGTGGGATGTCATGAAGGAAGAGGTTTTGCTCTCAGTTCCCTAGAAGCAGAAGGCACGGCACCCCATGCAGGGCCACACGGGAAGCACCAGGGTGGGTCAGGAAGCAGAGGGAGCGAGGGGCATTCGTGGGCCCAGGCCTTGATAGTGGTTTTGCGGGAAAGACAGGCAGGTGGGGTAAACTGCTGAGGACTGGCTCATTTGAATCCTTCCAGCAGGCTCTGAGCTATTTGTGGTCCCTGGTTGTCCAGTGCCTGGCCCTGGGGTGATTCAGGGATAAAGGAGATGGTAGGGATGTGGGCTCTGTGTTTCTTGGTGTGCACATCACAGGCCTGCTCGTGGGCAAGCTGTTTGCTCTCTCCAGGAATCAGCTAGCCCTGGGATGCTAAAGCATCATAGAATACCAACAACAAAAGCCACGAGTGTGTGTGTGACCAAGGATCCCTGAGGTTCTGAGACCCTTGCAGGGGGTCTGTGAGGGCCTGCCTTTGCTAACCACTTACCTGTGTGAGGCTGGACCAGCTTCACACCCTCCCACCTAACAACATGTCGCCCCAGATTGCAGCAGGAGCAGACGGCAGAGGCCGGCTGTCCTCTGTTACACCAGATGCCACAGAGGTTGGCAAAACGGCGCAACAATGCCACCCTGCTCGCTCCATTTTGTTGTTGTTGTTGTTTTGGAAAATACAGTTATTTTTCATTAAAACTGTTATTTATGGTAACATGTAATGGGCTTCATAGTATTATGAGTAACTAATATTAGCTATTTTCAAACACATTTTAAAATTGTCTCAGTTTTTGTTTCTAACATGACAAATCTCAATAGCTATAATCCACATAAACCAAAGCTCTTTGGAATCCTCGATAATTTTGAAGACTAGCAAGGAGTCTGAGATCAAAAAGTCAGAGACCTTTCTCAGGCAAGCCCCCTTTTCCCACTCGACGCCTCTCCCTCTCCTTTCCCTGGACAAGTAGCACAGATTCACTGCAGAAAGGAGAGATCCAGGCAGCCCTCTGGGAGGCGGAGGGGAGGGTGAGGGCCTGCAGAGGAGGAGAAGGGGAAAATATCGAGAAGGTTCCGGAGACACTCCCAACCCCCAACCCCAGTGTCAAGGACCATCTTTACAGGCTGAGCCTCTGCCTGGGAGCGGCTGTTCCCCCAACACGGTCATTGGGTCACGATGAGCCAAGCTGAGGGAAGTGGTCAGGGGACAGGGATGAGGGTCCAGGGTCAGGAAGGGGGACTGAGCGGGAAACCTGAGCAGAAACTGCATAACCCCCTGGAGGGAGCTGATGAGGGGGTCCCTTACCCCACACCTGTGACGGGGATACCAGGGCCACCAGGGCCCCAGGGCGAGATCGCTGGTTGTTTCTCTGACAAGGAGCCACTGAGAAAGGGGTCCAGCCCCCCAGGTGTGCAGGGGGTGCCGGCCCGGGCAGGAGGGTGCCTCCACCCAGCCCAGGTCCTGCTGGGGTGGGGTGGCCCCCAAGGACCAGCAGAGGAGCTCCACCCTCCTGGGATCTGTGATAGGCATGTCTCCACACCCCATGGGACTTCCTGAAGGAAGTCACTCTGCTCTCTGGGTGCCCAGGATGTGGCAAAGTGCCGGCATATTGTCATGGCTCCAGATTGGGCCGTGGGGGAGGGGAATACCAGGGGAACACCAGGCACAGCCAGAGGCGACACAAACGGGTGTGGGGGCATGTGGTTGGAGAGGGGTTGTCCCTAGTGGGCTCATCTCACAGCTGCCATTTCAGGGGCTGTGGCCACATCGTTCTGGGGTCAGCAGAGGGGTACTGGTGGAGGGTCCACCTGGGCCCCTTACCTTTCTCTGTCCACTGAGCTCTGCTCTGGGGTCCCCCCACCCTCCCAGGGCTTGATTCTCCTTCCCTGGCCCAGCCCTAACCCACAAGCGGAGGAGGCTCTTTGCCCCTCAGGCTGTATCTGATCCTGTAAACAGACACACAGACAGACAGACATCAGAGTCCTCCTCTTAGGCCTGAAGCAGAATGACTACGGGCCTGGCTCTGGGTTGGGGTCTGGGGCATCTCCCCTGCCTTTTAGCCATGTGGGTTTTGGAAAGTTGCTTCACTTCTGTGCACCTTGGCTCCTCACCTGGGAAGCAGGGATGACAGTGTTGTGACGGTTACAGAAGATGACAGATGGCCAAGAGGAGGTGCTTGACAAATCATTGCTCCTGTTATTACTCATTTGTCAAAAGCAAGCTCAGAAAAATGAGCGTGGCTCATAGAAGAGAAAGAGGAGAGAGTAGAAACAAGCACAGAAAGGGGGATGGGTTGCTAAGTGCCCCCAACAACTGGCCCCAGTATGACTGATGGCCCCACCAGGACGCAAATCCCATTTCCCCTCCTACGCTTGCCCTTCCCAAAGCAGCAGGATTTCCAGCCCATGAGAAACTCGTGTCCGCCTGGCAGGGAGTAAGGGATGCCCAGGCAGGATTTGGATCTGAGGTCACTGCAGGATGATCCCTGCCTTTGGGTATCGCCCCAGCAGACCAGCATCCCCCTGGCTGCCGCCTGCCCCCTATTCCCAGAGCCACCTGCTGGGCTCTGCTTCCAGGCTGACTTCCATCTTCAGCGAAGTGTCACAGAAGCGGCTTCCTTCTTCTCAGCCAACCCCGCCCACTGTGCTGGTCCATCCCATTGGCCCTGACAAGAACACAGCTCTCCCTCTCCTGTCTCTGTTTTTACACTCTTAGAGGTGTGGACACTGATTTTAATCCTCTTCAATAACCTGGATTAAAAGAACAATCCATGATGTTAGTCTACCATTATCCAGACTTGCTCATGAATTATGCATATAAAAATAATACATTTTAACTACACACTAGAATAACAACCTTGACTTTTGCACATGCTTTAACTTATATTATCTGGGCTCACAGTTAGACCCACCTTGCATGATGACTAATGCTCTATTATTGGGCAATGTTTTACAGGTAAAGAAACTGAGGCTCAGGGGCCGGCCCCATGGCCTGGTGGTTAAGTTCAGCGTGCTCCACTTCGGTGGCCCAGGTTCAGATCCTAGGTGCGGACATACCCCACTCAACAGTGGCCATGTTGTGGTGGTGACCCACATACAAAATAGAGGATGATTGGCACAGATATTAGGTCAGGGCGAGTCTTCCTCAGCAAAAAATTAAAAAAGAAAAAAGAAACTGAGGCCCAGAGAGGGTGAGTGACTTGTCCAAAGGCACTCAGCTAGTCTCCAGTTGCCCTGGGGCTGGAGCCAAAGTTCCCTGACTCCCAGCAGACCACTCTTCCTCTGGATTAGTTTCCCAGGGCTGCCATGACAAATTACCACACATTTGGTGTCTTAAAACAACAGAAATTTATTCTTTCATAGTTCTGGAGGTCAGAGTCCAAAATTAAGATATTAACTGGGTCATATTCTCTCTGAAGTTTCTAGGAAAGGAACCTCCCTTCCTCTCCCAGCTTCTAGTGGCTTCAGGCATTTGTGTTTTTTTGGAGGCAAAGTTCCTTGGGAACCACAGGGTCCACTCAGCCCCAATGTCCACCCCTGGAAGGTGGCACCACGTGGTGCTTTGTGAAGGCCTTGGGAGCTTGTCTGAGTAGGTGAGCTCCATCACAAAGGGACTGTGTTTGCTCCTTTTTTTTTTTTTTTTGTAAGGAAGATTGGCCATGAACTAATATCTGTGCCAGTCTTCCTCTATTTTGCACATGGGTCACCTCCACAACATGGCTGACAAGCGGTGTAAGTCTGCACTTGGGATCCAAACCCATGAACCTGGGCTGCTGAAGCAGGGTGTGCCAAACTTAGCCACTAGGCCATGGGGCCAGCCCCAATTTCTTGGCTTATGGCTGCCTCCGTCTCTGCCTCCGTCTTCACATGGCCTTCTCTTCTCCCTGTCTCTCCTCTGGGTGTCTTTTATAAGGACACTTGTCATTGGGTTTAGGGCCCACTGGATAATTCAGGATGGTCTCATCTTGAGATCTGCAAAAGCCCTTTGTCCAGATCAGGTCACAACCACAGGCTCTGGGGGTTAGGATGTGGATGTATCTTTTGGGAGGTCATCAGTCAATCCCCTACACCCTGTCAGGCACACGCCCACGCCAGGGACTGGGGAAGTCATTGGCCTTGAATCAACCCAGCTGGGAGACAGTCCCAACAGGAGGCAAACAAGATGAACCTCGTCATCATGAGCCTGTGTCTGTGAGCATCCCTTAAACCAGGACGCTGGGTTATTTGCCAACCTGCCCCCTTCTCTGTTCGGTTGGTTGCCCGCTCAGCAGCCCTGTCCCAGGGAGACAAGGACTCACTGGAACACAACTTGGAGGATTTACTGACCTCTGGAGAGGAGAGAATTGTCTCTTTGGTCAATACCTTGGACAAGGAAGCACTTATGCTTCAGCAGAGAGAGAGAGGGTGTCAGTGTTAGGTGCTATGGGCGCCATAAGCTCAAATGTGTACAGACACTTAATCTTGTGATAACAGGGCCATGGTCCTACTGGGTCACAGGCCTCACTATCAGGACAGCCTTTCTGACTTCTAGCCCAGGGTGAGCAGTTCTCAGCAGGTCCTGACCCTGTCCAGACGCCCACGTCAACTGAGCAGAAAGTCAGCTCCAAGTGAATCCCACCCACGTCCCTCACTTGTCTCCATGACACTCTTCTTTTCTTTGCTACTTCCCAGATGCTGATGGTCAAAATAATTTATTGTGGGGCCAGCTCTGTGGCGTAGTGGTTAAGTTCGGTGCACTCCAATTTGGAGGCCCGGGTTCACGGGTTTGGATCCCAGGTGCAGACCTACACCACTCATCAGCCATGCTGTGGCAACAACCCACATATGAAGTGGAGGAAGACTGGCACAGATGTTAGCTCAGAGGCTGATCTTCCTCAAGCAAAAAATGAGGGAGATTGGCAACAGATGTTGGCTCAGGGCTAATCTTCCTCAGCACACACACACAAAAATTATTGTAATTATTAGAAAAATTATTTAAAAGTTAGCACATTATTATAGGTAATGTTGAAGAAAGACAATCACTGTTGTCCCCCATGTGAACATGACTGCTGGTTTTGGCTCTGTCCTTATCTCTCTGCACGCCGCTCTCCCTCCCTGGCAGTTATAGTGGACAAACTACTTTGTTCTGTTTTCTTTTTTCACTAGATTCATTTACTTTTAACACACATTTGTTGAGCACTTACCACACAGCAAATTTTACTTTAACATTTCACGATGTCTTATAGTTTCTATGTAACCATTGTAATGATCAATTTTAATGGCTACATAATAATCCACTTGTCAATATACCACACTTTGGGTGTTAGGAAGGACTCCCGATTGGGTGACAGAAAGGAGCCCCAAACAAGCTGAAGGAGAGGAACGTGCTTCAGCATCCACAGTGGAGAAGTCGAGGGTGGGACTGGCTTCAGGCACGAGTGAAACGAGACGTTCAAATGGTGCTCCTGGCCGTCTGTCTCCACCTCTTGGCCCTACTTTCTCCGGGGCTGGCTTCATTTTCAGGCAGGCTGTCCCCACGTGGTGGCAACATGGCTGTCAGCAGCTGGAGCTTATAAATTACCAGCTAAGCAACCCACTAGAAAGAAAGCCTGCCTTCCCCAAGAGACCCAGCAGGAGTCCTGGGCTGACTCTCAGGAGAATAACTTGGATCACGCAACCCATCTCTGTGGTCAGCGGGGGACACAGGGCTCTCACTGGTCTGGCCTCGGTGATGGGCCCTCCCTGTGCCCAATCCAGGGCATGGCAGTCGTCCCACCCAAACCACATTGATTGTAGGGGAGAGGTGATTCCTTAAAGTGAGATTGGGGTGCTGTTGGCAGAAGAAGGAGGAATGGATGCTTGGCAGGCAGGAACACATCCGTCGCTCCCCTCTGCTGGATGCCTAGGGCTCCCCCTCCCCGAGTTGCTGCTGTGATAGAGGATGAGTGACTGCTGGCTGGGCAGGACTCCCTTCTCCATCCCACTGGGCAGCTCAGTCTGGTCTAGTTTACATACGGGGTCTCCACACTGGATTTTATTAGAGGTGAAGATTCTATGGCTTAAAAACATTTGAAATCCAGTGGCCATAGAGTGCCTTAGAGCTCCAAACAGCTGAGAATCCATGACCTTAAGTCTGTCCCTGTCCTCTGAACCTGCCCGGCCACATCCCCTTGTTTTCTGCCCCTGTCTGCTCTCCTTCTCTCTGTGCTTTTCTCTCCTTCGTCCTCTGTGCTCTCCACTCCCACAGTGTGCACAGAGGCCAGAGGATCTGTGGCGGGGCTGGAGAGGTGGGGTCAGGACAGAGCAGTGGGCTCCACTCCAGCTCTTTCCCCTTCCTTGAGTCCTGCCCTGTCAGACCCTCCCCGGCCCCATCCTGTCCCCTGTAGCAATGGGAATGGCTCTCCCAGGCCCAGTGGGACTTAGGAAATTTGGCTGAAACTGGTTAGCATCCCGCCCTGACTCCTCTGGAATTCGACCCCTCTGCCTGGCCCAGGTCCTGGCCATCCTAATGGACGTGTTCACGGATGTGGAGATCTTCTGTGACATTCTAGAGGCAGCCAACAAGCGTGGGGTGTTCGTCTGTGTGCTCCTGGACCAGGGAGGTGTGAAGCTCTTCCAGGAGATGTGTGACAAAGTCCAGATCTCCGACAGTCACCTCAAGGTAGGGGCCCCGAAAGGCACTTTATATTAGTCAAGATAGGGTGGGCGGTGCCATGGTAACAGATGCCCCCTTCTCAATGGCTTAACATCATACAGGTTTCTTTCTCGCTCGAAGTCCAGAGTAGGTCAGAGGGCCCTCCCTCAACTTGTAGCGACACCGGAAGGAATACGTGGCCTCCAAGATGGTAGTGACACGGAGAGAGAGGGCTGGAGGGTTCTACAGCGTCTTTTTAGGATCTGACCTGGAAGAGATTCTTGTCACTTCCACTCATAGCCCTTTCACCCCACCTAGATGCTTGGGGGCTGGGAAGTGTAAAGGGGCCCATGGATAGATAGGTGGTGAGCAGCGACATCTGTGGCATATGGCTATTTTCCTCTCAGCCGAGGAAACCCAGTGGGTGTGCCCCACGGGGCAGGGTGACACCCGGGACCTGTTTGATACATGTTTAGGACTCCACAGCCCCAACAGGATCTTCTTGGATTTAACTGAACTTCCCACTTCCTTCTCCTACCAGGGAGAAAAGAAACCCAGAAATAAGGGTTCATTTAGTCATGTCGAATCTGGGGAGGGTAATCCAAGGACGGATGTAAAGCCACCCACAGCGTTCATGAGGAGGCCCCGCTGAATGGCTGGTGGGCGGTCCCCTGGTGATGGCCTCTCTCTCAGGCAGACCAGCCTCCAGGAGACCCCACCCTCCTCCCTTCCTCCTTCCTTCCCCTCCACCCTGACCAGGAGGCACCTCTGCTGCCACAGGCCCCAGGTCCTCTGATGGCTGGGCTTGCTTGATGTTATCTGCATCGCTCCTCCTGCTCTTGAGGCCATCGAACCAGGTCCAGAGAGTCAGCACAGGCCTGCCTTCACGGCCCGCACCGGCCACACCTGACAGTGCTCTGCCCACCAAGGGACAGTGGGATGTGGCCCCCCTCACCATCTCACAGAGCTTATGGTAGGCCGGGGGGCGCTGTTGAAGGCATTGGGCATCTCCTTCCCAGAGCCCGGCCAGCCACCGGTGGGCATTCACAGGATCCCAAAAGTGTCCCACCTTCCTCTGAGACCCCCATGCCCAACCTGCCCTTTCACGTCTCCAGGCTTCCAAGTGTTCCAGCAGGAGGGCCGGGGCAGCAGGTGCTGCTGGCGAGGAGAGGGACACACAGGGCCACGGTTTGGGTTGTAGACACACTTTTTCTTAGGACAGTCTAGTGTCTATTGGGGTCTCCACAAAGCTGCCCCTCTCACTGCACTGGGCCTTCCCTCTGACGAGCGTGGGCTGAGGGACTCATGTCACTAACGCCACCTGCAAAGCAGGGCTGGGCTTGCCAGACGTCTGTGGTCCATGGGAGCCTAGACGGAGGACGCCATGGGCATCAGACCCTCGTCTTTCTTCTATTTTCTGTTTTGTTTAAATTTCACCATCTCCCCTTTCCTCTTTTCCTTTTTTTTTTTTTTTTTTTCCATTACTCAAATAATATCAGGCCAACAAAGAAAATTTAGAAAATTCAGCCAAGGAAAAAATAAAAATTGCCCATAATCCCACCAACTAGAGATAACCTCTGTGTTACATCTTGGTGACCATCCTCCCCAACTCTTTCCGAGGCAAACGTATTTCTATAAACACATAATTAGTGAGAGAGCCTTGCCTTCCTTCCGCCAGAACATCTCCATCCGGAGCGTGGAAGGAGAGGTGTACTGTGCCAAATCAGGCAGGAAGTTCGCCGGCCAAATCCAGGAGAAGTTCATCATCTCCGACTGGAGATACGTCCTGTCTGGATCGTACAGGTGAGCGCTCAGTTGCCCCTTCTAGAAGCTGAGGCTTCGCAGAGGCGAAGGCTGAGTGTGGTGCGGACCAGCCGGCCACACAGGCACACACGCCCAGGAGCAGCTCCCAGGGCGCTCCTCCTCTGCCCAGAGCTGGGCCTTCATCCCACACATGATGCTGGAGGCAGGACCAGCCTGGGCACAGGGGGAAACCTGGGCCCTTCCTAGTGGACTCCAGGGGAGAGAGGCCCCTCTGAGTGCCTCAGTTTCCTTTGACATGGCCATCCGACATGGAATCCTTTCTCCCTCCTCAGGCCACTCAGGTGTGATTATAAAGCCATGCAATTTTTGTTTTGTTGTGTGTATGCGCCCCATTTTCTTTTCAAAACGTTTTATTATTTTAACATAACTAATCTATTGAGATATAATTCATACCAGATATTTTACCCATTCAAAGTGTGCAATTCAATTCTTTTTGGCCTCACTGTGCTCATCTGTAAAATGAGGGTAACAATACATTCTGCGCCAGATTATTGTAAGGCTCAGTGAGATAAAGTTTGCAAAACATGTGGCATTGTTCCTAGCACACAGTAGGTGCTCAAGAAATGGTTGCTACTAGCCAGCCGGTACCCTGGCAAGGTCCCTGGGCAAGGGGAGATGGGATAGGCAAGATTTGAAAGGGAGAAGGCTGAGAAGATGGTGGGGGTGCTGCCAAGCAGGCAGGCCTCTGGAGACGGACTGGGGGCCCGACAAGACTGGAGGCCACCAAGACAGCCGTCCGATCGCTTCAGCACTGCAGGGCTTGTTGAACTGTCGCAGTGTCCTAGATAAGATGGCAAGCGTCACCCTCTGTGGCCCCAACCACACACTTCCCGGCCCCTTCTCCACTCCCCTGTCAGAGCATCTCCATGCCCCACGGGACCTAAGGCTGGTGCTAGGGACTTGAAGCGGCAGCAGCCTGGCCTAGAAGTCAGACGACCCAATACACCGGCAGGGAAACTCCTTTTTCCTACCACCCTCCTACGTTCTCCATCTGGGGCCCTGTCAACTGGACTGACAAAAGATGGGTTAATGAGAGAAAAGCATACAGATTTACTTAATATAAGTTTCACATGACACGGGAGCATTCATAAGGAAATGATGACTCTGAGAAACAGTTAAGCCTGAGCGTGTTCATACGAGGTTTGGTGAAGAGTGGAAGGTCCTGGAAAAGCGCGATAGGACGGAAGGGTGGGAGCTGAGCGTCGTCACTGGGGGACATAGCAAGGCCTGACCTCTCGGATTCCTCTCGGAGTCCCTCCGTCCTTGGGGATAAGGATGCGCCCTTCCTCCTGGTATCGGGAGGGCACCTCTCCCGTGAGGGTCTAGGGACCCGCTTCAGGGAGAAGGGGAGCTCGGAGACTCCGTCCCGCACCGGCTGTTTCTCAGCTTCCTGCAGATTAAACCATTTCTCATCTGAGAGCGGCATATAGATTTGGGACGGCAGGTCCTGATGCCCTTTGCCATTAAGCAGTCGCTCCCCATTCCCGTCTCCCCACCCCTAGCAACCAGCTGTGAGCCTAGCAAGAGGCTTAGTGAGCCGTCCCAAAGATTTCCAAACGTTTGATAGGGACAGAGAAAGACATTCTGAAAGAGCAATGAAAAGGGCGGAGAGTCTACCCTTATTTTCAGTAGGGAGACTCGAGCCTCGCATTCGCCTCCTGGAGCTCCTCACAGAGGCCCTCGCCCTCGCTACGGGCAGGAGGAAGCGGAACTAACCGCGCTGAGCTCTGGGCCAGGCCCTGAGCCGGGTGCAATCAGACCTTTAGGAAGGATCTATTCCACATGACAGCCTTTGAGGGAGGCCTTATTCTTCCAATTGTCTGATGGGGGCACTGAGGCACAGAGAGGGTGGGTGACTGGCCCAGGGTCACCAGCTTCCTTGACTAGGTCTCCAGCTCTCTAGTGTCTACTGAGTGGGGTCTGGGTTTGTCATCCTGATGTGGGAGGCACCACGAGGAGGGTGGCAGTGGGCTTGGAGCCATGCAGGGCCTTTTCTGAGAACCGTGGAGAGGCCAGCTCCTGGGGCGAGCACAGCACAGCTGGAATGTTTTTGCACTTGACGGTCAAAGGCGACCAGTCTGCCAGCCTTTCTGAGGATCCTTTGCCCTGGGACCCTCAGAGTTCTCTCCAGTGAAACGAAACAGAGTCTCCATCCCATTCCTTCAGTGCAGCCATGTCTGGGCCTCAGATATTTTGGCTCTTCCCTCTGGTCGTATGCAGCCCTCCCAACCGGAAGAGTTCTGTCTGCATCTTCAACTTTGGGTGTGGGTGCAGGTGGGGGTGTGCATTTCAACATTTAAGCCCTTGTAGAGGATCTTACCCAGGACAGGCGCTGTGCCAGGTGCTGGGGACACAGAACTCTTCTCTGTCATCAAAACACATGGATAAATGGCCCCAGAGCGGTGTGGTGTGTGCCCAAACATCTGCATGGACTAAGAAAGTGCCCTGGGGTCAGCCAGGAGGGAGCTCCCACTCCAGCTGGCAGGTCCAGGAGGTTCGATTGGGCCTTGGAGGATGAGAAAGACTGGGGCAGGGAGGGGGTACAAAATCAGGTAGCTGGAACAGCATGAGGAACAGCATGATACCAGCACAGCCTTCTAACTGGCCCCTGATTTCACTCTTGCCCTGACCCGCAGTCTCTTCTCTGGGCTTTCTCTACCAGAAACAGAAAGATTTTTAAATGCAAACGAGATCAAATCATTTAAATCTGTAAAATCCTTCCACGTTTGTTACTGGTCCTAGGAAAAGAACATCCACATTCTTACCATGGCCTCTGTCTCAGCAAGATTATTCTTCCCACTCCACTGTGCTGTAGCCACACTAGCCTCCTCCCAGGTCTTTCATGCTGTTTCATACCTCAGGGCCTTTGCACTTGCTGTTTATTCCCTCTGCTGGAGAGTTCATTCCTGTTACATTTATCCTGTTAACTTATCTTGCAGGTGGTAGCTTCCAGATCATTTCCTAGAGAACTTCTCTGTGGACTTATTTAGCCAAGATTGTAAACAACATAATGTCAGGGCCTGGACTGGGTCTGTTTTCTTCTCTAATGCATTCCTGGCACAAAGGACAGTTAATACAGTCTGAACACTATGTGACCATAACTATTTGTTGAATGAGTGAATGAATAAGTGAATGAAAGTCCATGTTAGGTCCTGGCCATTCAGTGTGGCTGGAGGAGCAAAGTTTTTCCAATGGTGAATCACCATGTATTAGCAGAGTGTGAAATCAACCTAACAGATGATGCCCAGTTTTTTTTTTTTTTTTCTTTAATGAAATAGGATAGAGTAAAAATAATCAGAGCACACTGATGTAAGGCATGTTCTGGAAACTGTGTGGTTATGTGTGTCCTTGTATATATGAGCAGGCCATGATGTAAAATGTATCTCTCCAAGAATAGCCAGGATAAGTCTGAACAGGCAGCGGGGGCTTGCCCTATCAGAGATGGGGACCCGTCATGGAGCCGCAGTAGTCAAGGCAATGTAGTGTTGGAGGAGGGACAGACAAACTGACAAACGGAACAGACAGCCCAGAACAGGCCCACACATGATGGGGCCTGTCAGAGCAGCGGGGAAAGGAGAAACTGGGAAAAAATAATTCTCCATATGGAACATTGGATTCCACTCCACACATAAAAAAAAAAAAAAAAAAAAAAAAACCCTCCTAATAGATTAGAAAGACTTAAATGTCAAAAACAAACTTTAAAACTCTTAGTAGAAAATACAGATGAATATCTTTGAGACCTCAGGGTAGGACGAGGTGTCTTCACGCAGACAGCCCTCTGTGTCAAAAAGAACACGAAAAAGCGTTGACTACAAAAGATCGCTGAATCTGACTGTCTTACGGTGAGAACTCCGGCTCGTCGAAAGACGTCTTAAAGAAAGTGAAAAGTCAGATGACAGACCGGGAGCAGGTTTTCCAGATGCTCTGACGGGATCGATGTCAAGAATCACCAAGAACTCCCGGGAATCACAGAGCAAAGCAGCACAACGGACGCGTGGGCGAGGGACGCGAGCCGGCACGTCCCGAGGAGGAGACGTGTGGGGATGCATGGAGACGTGCTCGGTATCGTCATGATCGGGAAAACGCAAAGCAAGGCTAGAAGGAGTGAGCATTTTACACCTTTCAACCGGCAAAAAAAAAATACAAAGACTGACAATACCGAATGTTGGATTCACAGGATCTTTTCTGCGTTGCTAATGGGACTGCAAATCGGGACAGTGACTCTGGAAAGAGGTCAGCATTTTCTCCTGAAGCTGAATATTCGCCTAGTTTATAACCCAGCACTTCCAGTCCTAGGCGTATTTCTAGGAGAAACGAGTCCACTGTACAGTGGAAAACACGTATAAAAATGGTCATAGCAGCGCTGGTCACAACAGAAAAACCGTGGGAACGACCCAAATGCCTGTCAGTGGGAGAATGGGTGACCAAATCACACTATGACCACCAGGCGAATATTAGACAACAGTCAAAACAAATGAAGTATAGTAACAAGAGACAACATGGATGAATCTTAGCAGTCTAATATTAAGTGGAACAAAATCCCCAAAGATCACATATATTGATCAAAAACAACTAAAATAAAAATATTTACTTTCCAAAGTACATAAAACTTTTTTTTTAATTATAGAAAAAGGAAAGTGTGGGAACTATGACATAGGATTCAGGGTGATGATTTCCTCTATTTGGGGGAACCTAGAAAATGGATTTCCGAGAAGCATCATATGGTTAGATGCTGGTTAATGTCAAGATGCTAGCTTTTTATTTCAGGTGGTGGGTCCATAGGTGCTTATTAAATTATTGGAAATAACTAAGGGACCCAGCCCCATGGCTGAGTGGTTAAAGTTCTGCGCACTCCACTTTGGCAGCCTCGGTTTGCAGGTTCAGATCTCAGGTGTGGACCTACTCCACTCACCAGCCATGCTGTGGGGGTGACCCATATATAAAGTGGAGGAGGATTGGCACAGATGTTAGCTCAGGGCTAATCTTCCTCAAGCAAAAGAAGAGGAGAATTGGCAACAGATGTTAGCTCAGGGTGAATCTTCTGCAGCAAAAAAAAAAAAAAAAATTAAATAGCTACATAAATTAAAATGGGTCATGAATAGACTAATGATGAGAGTGGGTCTTGAGCCAAAGCTTATGATTAAGGCAATTCTATGTACTAAGGGGCCAAAAAACAATAAAAATAAAATGTATTTCTTACTATGGGTGGTGATAAAAGAAAATGTGGAAGATAGAGCACAGGATGAATGGGCATGTTCCATGTAAAGAAGGGGAACCCCTGTGGGGGTGGGGGGCACGCAGGTGCTGCAGGGAAGCACAAGGGACCCAGGGGTGTGCTGGGGCCGCCGGGGGGTGGGGGCACAGGCACATGCTGGGTGCATAGGGGCCTGAAAGTTGCCAGGGCATCTTCGAACCTGTTTCTGAGCAAAGCATGCAGTTGCTTGGCCTACTCTATCCTGATTCCTAACAACACAGGGCGATTGAGTTCTTAGTGTAGCCAAGCGTCCCCCTGTCCCTGTGTTTGTCACCTTCCCTGTCACCTGGCTGGCTCTAGGCTCAGCCTCAGCTGCTCGCCTCTCTGGGGCTGTGTGGGTGGCTCCTGGGCGGCAGGTGGGGTTTAAACAAAGCCTCATTGTTCTTTCCAGGGGTGCCCCAGGCTCACAGAGCAGGGATCCCACAGGCTGGGCCCAGCCTTTCGGTGGCAAGGCAGGCTGGCTGGGGGCTGGGGGCTGAGACCCTTGGTGGGGGTCGTTTCTGTAGCCCATGGTAACCTTGTCCCCCTGTGACCATCCTGCCCCATTGCTCCCCACGCCTGGGTTCACATAACTAGGGACCCAGGAATCTCTAACTGATGCTCTTGGCGGGTCTTCTGTGCTGTCACTAGGCATTTCAAGGGTTTGGGGGGGTGGGGGGTGTGATGAGGAGAGTTTTCCATCAGAGATAGAAAGGAATTTGGTTAAATCAGGGAATCATAAAAACAATGCATAAATGCCTTGAGCATTTTGTTTTCATTTAAAACCTGTAAATGGAGGGCCCAGGCCTCTGCTTGACGGGGAGCTCTGGTGGGTGGCCGGGCAAACTGCACTTCTGTTCATCCTTCCGGTTCCTGTGGGCTCGCCCCTGTGCTCTCTCTTCCGCCCCCAGAGAGCATGGGATTCTCCCTCGCCCTCCCACCCCCTACAGGTTTATGTGCCCAAAATGGAGCCATCGCCTTTAGATTTTCGTGACAACACAGCCCCTGCCTTCTAGGGAGCAGCCTTGCCCAGCCCCCTGTTGGGTTAGAAGGAGCAGGTGGCCTCGCATTCACAGGTGGTGCCGCAGTGGCTAGGTGACTCCGAGGAGCACAGAGTCAGGACACCGGGACTCAGCTGGCATGCAGTCCCTCTGTGCCTCCCCAGGGATCTTTGAAGGGGCCATAATCTGAGCACCAGGATGGCACCCGGACCTGAGGCCAGGGCTTCACTCTGGCTTCTTAATTTTTCACCTGCAGACAGTCGCTGGTATCTGAGCCTCAGTTTTGTCATCTGTGACAGGAGCACACCCATGTCTCCCTCCAGGGCCTCCCCCTCCAGGGGTTCTCCTTCCAGGAGTGGTGGGCGTATGTTAATCCCTTCCTACCAGCCCTGCCGTCAGCCCCCACTGCTCCCAGGGCAGTGTCACGGAGACCCCTGCGCCACCTCCCCAGTTCCACCCCTCACTCTCTCTCCTCTTCCCCTCCAGCTTCACCTGGCTCTGCGGACACGTCCACCGGAACATCCTCTCCAAGTTCACAGGCCAGGCAGTGGAGCTGTTCGACGAGGAGTTCCGCCACCTCTACGCCTCCTCCAAGCCCGTGATGGGCCTGAAGTCCCCCAGGCTGGCCGCACCCCTCCAGCCCAGGGCAGGCCCCAGCCCACCGCCCGCCCGCCTCAGTGGCAGCAGCTGCTCTGCCAGTGACCGCACATCCTCCAACCCCTTCAGCAGCCCGTCGACGGGCAGCAACCCCCAGAACCAGAGTCTGTCCTTGTCCTCGGGGCCCGGCAGTCCCCTGGCCCCAAACCCACCTCCGCCCCCCAGGTTTCAGCCCCACCACGGCCCCTGGGGGGCCCTGATCCCACAGGCCCACTTGTCCCCAAGGCCCCTAGATGGCCCACCTGCTCTCTACAGCAACCTCAACGCCTACAGGCCCACACGGCTGCAGCTCGAGCAGTTCAGCCTGGTGTCCAGGGTGGCCCACACCTGGAGGCCCTTTCTACAGGCCTCACCTCATTTCTGAAGGGTCCCTGCCCCCAGCCGCCCTCCCTGGCCCAGGGCTGGGCATTCCTGGATTTTCTGGCCCAAGGACCCCGCCTCGACGACTAGCAGCTTTAACCTGCTTCCCCTTGAACTAAAGGCGCTTGGACGAAATCGTTGCCTGTGTTTGAATGTTCCCAGGCCTGAGACCCTGCACTTGCTGACCCCCCCACTCCCTGGGTTTCCCTCTCCAGCATGGCCTACGCAGCACATCCCGGAAGGTTCCAGGGAGGTGGGGGATGGGGAGCCAGAGGACAAAATCATGGAAATAGAGCCCCTTTCTCCCAAAGAGCGGCCAGCGCCTTAATATTAATGTTCCTGGAATCTCTGTGAGAAGGGGCAGATGCAGCACAAGCCTTACATATGGGTAAACTGAGGCACTGAGAGGCAGAGGGTGGGTGTGATCAAGGTACTCTTGTTTCCCAGTGCCCAGGAACAGTCCACTCCCCAGGGATTCAGGAGAAAGGATGGGAACATTCTGGATGTTTCTGGGAGAGGTGGGAAAACTCATCCCTGGAAAGGTGTAATTCATCCCTGGGCCTGATGAATTAGGGATGAGGCCCCAGTGAAAGTGTAGCCACTGGGGATGGGGCAGGCTGAGGCGTCTAGGTGATGGAGCTGGACAGGGCAGTTTATCAGCTCAGGTTCTCACTTCCAAGAGCCTTGGGTCGGCCTGGAGGTCCCTGAGTCTGGACTGAGTCCCAGGGCCTTGAGTTGTCAGGATCTAGGGGTGGCCCTGCAGCAGTGCCCAGGGCAGCCTTGAGCAACCAGGGAGGCTCCTGTGTTGACCTTGCAGCCCAGGCACAGCCAGCTGTCTCCAGATCCAGGTGCCTCTGTGGCTTGTTGACAACCTGAAGCGAGCCCCATCATTCGCTGCTTCTCAGATTCACAGTGTGCGCTTTGTTCCCGGGCTGGTACTAGATCCTAAGGGCACCGCCTAGCCAGGGGATAAGGAAGAAATACAGGGTGCGTAGGGAGCACAGAGGAGGTCGGCCAGCCCAGCTCGGGGAGGCTGGGGAACACTTCCCAGAGAAGTGACAGTTCACGGAGACCTAAAGAACAAGGGTGTCATAGCTGGGGGTGGGTGTGATCCCGGCTGCTCCAGCCCAAGAGAAACAGGTGCAAAACCCGCATCCATCTGCCTTTCTCTGTGTCCCCCTTACCCCCCTGCCACCTGCAACTCATCTCAGCAGATGTCTTCCCTGTTGCCATTTCCAGCTCAGAACCCTTTGTTTCCTAAGGGGTTTTCAAACCCTGGTCCTGATGCTGCTGTCTTCCTCCTAGTGGCCATGAGGAGGTTCAATGACTGGGTGCCACGGGGTGCTCTAAATTGGATTTCACGGTCTACTGAGAGAGCTTCAGGAAGGTAAAGCTTCCGAAGGGCCAGGAGCTCAAGGGGCTGCTCTGGCCCCCGCCCACGTCAGGCCTCGGTGTCAGGGGAGAGGAGACCTAGCCACCAGAAGGAACCCCGCTGCTCCCACTCACTCGCTGCCAGCCAGCTTCCCCTTTGTGGTCGTCTTAGGCATTCACAAGTACTGCGTTTCCTCTTCCAGGCACCTTGTCATGTGTGATCCCTGCCTGCTGGGGCATTAGGAGGGGTCTGCTTTGGCCCGTGGAATGTGAGGACCACTTCCAGGTGGAAGCTTGAAGAGCCTGGGCGCAGCCGGCCACATAGGAGCGTGCCTCAGGATGGAGCCCCTCTGCCAGCCCGGGCTCCTCAGAGACTGTGCTGAGCAGGCCCTCCCCTCCTACCCGACCGACCAGCAGTGGATAAGTAATAAGAGCAAGAGATAAACCTTGGTTGTTTAAGCCGCCGAGATTTGGAGTTGTTTCTTACTGCACTGTGATCCAGCCCGGTCTGACTGATACAACCTTGGGACCCACAGATGCCAGGCTGAGCCATCCCTTTGTGGGACTGGATTCCCAAGGGCCCCCAGCCTTGGGCTCTTGTTGCAAGACACCATATCCACCAGGCGTCTAGGAGAGTTTTACATACCTGTGAAGCAAGTCCTTATCCAAGTTTGCAATCCTCCCAAACCTAGCACGCCCATCTTTATTTGTGCTCCGGGCTGGAGGCACACCTGCGCCTGCCTTGGCCGGCCTACTTGCACGGGGCGGTCCTGAACGTCTGCAGTCTCTCCTACAGGGTGAAATTCAACAACTCGAAGGGGCGCCCACATGTGCCTGGCACGGGTTCAGCGACAGGCAGAGACCCAGACTCGCTTCTGTCCTGGAGAACTCCAAAGTCAGCAGAGGCCACACCCGCGGGAACAACCCCCATGAAGAATACGAGAGAATGAAAGAAACACGATGATAGTCTTGTCCAGGGGACATGGTGAAGGCGGGCTTCACTTAAGGCCAAATGCGTACCCCAGCCAGGGACTGGGAATCACATTATCCACCTGCAGGATTGCAGCCAGGACTGACCAGAGAACTGATTGCTAATGACCAACCCTGCCCCCCAAACTCTCTCTATCTGTAGCTTTCACTGGGTCCTCACCAGATACCAACTGTTATCCCCGTCTGCATTGTAAGAGGCCAGAGGCCACGGATATCTTTGTAGGCCCTGAGGAACCCTAACCACAGTGGCTTGGACGTCCCCAGGGCAGACTGACAACCGATTGGTCAAGGAGCTTTGCTCTTGCAAGAGGCACAAACATTCAGATGCCCCAGGATGACCTTTCCTCCCCCTCTGTCCTGCCCCCACCTTGACCTGGGCTCCCCGCCTCCACCCACCCGCCCATCATGGAAGTGCCAGAGCCCTATCTTCAAATGCTTCATTTCCTGAACTTGGTCCAAGAAGCTGTTAGACACAGAGAAACTGTCACTCACATTCTCAGCTTCCTCCCGAAGAGTGGATGTGTGTCAGAAAAACTGTTATCAGAGAATGTAAATATTGCAGACACGCACGTAGGAAGCATCAACACGACCTCCTTTTTCTCATTCACTGTATTTTGGTTGAGACAGACACACTGCCTCCCAAGGCGCTCCATGCTTCATTCCTCTGGAGGGTGCGGTGGGTGAGGGTGTCTGCATGATGCCACGCTGAGCCGACAGAGAGGCTCAAAGGGTGCACAAGGCCAAGGGCAAGGGCAGGCTGGAATCCAGCCTGTAGCTGAGCTCGCCAAGGCTGCTGCCGCTCACCACGTCAGGCAAATTCACACAGAGATGCCTGGTGGCTGGTCTTTGAGAACAGATTTCTAGACCCTCCCACTGAAATGGTTGCTAGTGAAGTTCCCCAGGCTCTGCGCCCCCTTTTCCCCATCTCCCCAGAAGAACACAAGCCAGGCCTCTCCCCTGACTTCAGGAAAGGAGAGAAGCAGAGGAAGGAGAAAGGTGTCCTTGTTCATTCGGGCTGCTGTCACGAAATGCCGCAGCCTGGGTGGCTTATAAACGACAGGATTTTATTTCTCACAGTTCTGGAGGCTGGAAGTCCAAGGTCAGGGTGTCAGTGTCGTCAGGTTCCGACACCGGCCCTTGTCCTGGTTGCAGATGGCCCTCTGGGGAGCCCTGACTAATACGCTCCATCTTGGCTTTGCGAAGAGCCCAGGGCGTACACTGGGCCCACCTGGATAAGCAGGGCTACTCCCCTAGTTTAAGCCCAGCTGATTAGCAGACTGCATTCCCCTTGGCTGTGTAACCTAACACATTCACAGGTTCTGGGGGCTAGGACGGGGACACCTGAGGGCCATTCTTCTGCCTCCCTCCTTCCAGGAGTTTGGTGGAGGTTTCAGCCAACAACGTAGCTGGGCCCAGACGACAAGAAGAGCCTGGAGTCAGGAGGTAGCAGAGACCTGTCCCTCTGTGCCTTTCTGGGCATCTCTTTCCTTTGCTCTCTCTCTCTGCAGACCTCTGCTCTCTGCTCCTCAGTCCACTTGGCAGAACACAGCCCACCGCATGTTTTCACCGTGTTAGTTTCAGACGCATGAGAAGAATCTTTCATTTCTAAATCTCCAGGGGAGATTCTGAGTGGTTCAGCTTAGGTCAAGTAAACTCTCCTTCCAATCAATTTGGATCACTGAGAACAAATATGGCTGCCAGGTCCCACCCCTGTGGGTGACAGGGCAGTTCCCAGAGATGGGGGCGGGGTGGGGTGGTCATTAGTTCAAGGGCTAAGCAGACACAACAACAACACGGAAGCTTTAGGTGACAAAGCCACTCTGTGCTGGGGAGGGAGAAAAGAACCAGGAAGGGGCAGCCCCAGGTAGACAAACGCCTGTGCCCTCTTTCTCCTGACCTCTGCAGTGAAGGCTCCCAGGGGACACACTCCGACTGGCAGACAGGACGGGAGTCAGGCCTGTGCTGCCCCTCACAAGGACCGAAGTTTCGAAAGCTTTGGATTCTTTTGTGTAAGCTGCTCTGGTTTTTCTGTGCTTTTTGCTTTTATGATTAAGATCTTGGAAAGTAGTGTATTAACTACCTTCATAGATGAAATTTCAAAAGCACTAGAAAGCTACTATTTAAAACAATCTTTTTTGTAAACAGTGGACTTGGACTTGTTCCATAGAGATGTCTACCTAAGGTTTTGCTAAAAGGAAGCACATCTTTGTGGAAACACAGTCCGCACAGGTGAGCAGGGGCACTTTGGCGCTGGCATGGAGCTCTGTAGGGACGGGCCCACAGGCTGCTGGCTCACCAGACTCCAGGGCTGCCTCTGCAAGGGCCTGGGGGCCCCAGGAAGCCAGCAAGGAGCAGAGGTCATGGCAAGTCCAGGAAGCCGAGCTCTGCCATCAAGGGGCAAAGCACAGACAGAGTCCTAGAACTTATCATGGAGCAAGGAGGATTCATACTATGAATATTCAGTTATATTTCCATTAAGCACTTTGTTTCTTTTTTTTTTTTTTTGAGGGAGATTAACCCTGAGCTAACATCTGCCGCCAATCCTCCTCTTTTTGCTGAGGAAGACTGGCCCTGAGCTAACATTGGTACCCATGTTCCTCTACTTCATATGTGGGACACCTGCCACAGCATGGCTTGCCAAGCGGTGCATAGGTCTGCACCCAGGATCTGAACGGGTGAACTCCAGGCCGCTGAAGTGGAACGTTCAAACTTAACCACTGCACCACGGGGCCGGGCCCTACGTTAAGCACTTTGAAAAAAAAGTACAGGCACTATGAAAACATTTAAAGGGGGACCTGAGCAAGCGTGGGATCAGGAACATCTGGTCTGACAGTGACGTTTGAGCTTAGAGCTGCAGGAAGGGGACGTTTGTGGCAGGGTTGGGAGAATGCAGGGGAGAATGTTCCAAGTAGAGGTAACCCGATGGGCAACAGGCTTGGGCAGGAAGATGCTGGAATGGCCAAAGGACTTGAGAAAAAACCAGAGTGAGCTGGGGTGGAGGGGGCTCAGCCAGACCACACAGGGCCTCAGAGGCCTCGTGGATTTGGGAAACCTCTGAAGGGATCTGAGAACTAGCTTTATTTTTATAAGATCTCTTTGGCTATAGTCTGAAGATTGTGGGGATGTAGGCGTGTGAAGGACAAAGGGCCCCCACCAGCTCAAATAGCGGACGTGGATTCCGCCTCGGCAGAAAACGTTGAGGACAGGCCTTTTGAGTCACAAGAGGCCGGAACTGCCCTTGGGTCCCATCTCACACTCCTACAGTGCGGACAGTCACCTCTGCGGGTCACATCAGCTCACCTCCTGCATGATTCATTCACTGACAGGAGGGTGGGGTGGCTAAGGAGGCAGGCCTGAGATTTTTCCTCAGCATAATCACCGTCAGTTAATAAGCTTCGCCATCTGTGCTGGATGATGGAGATGACTTTTGTGTGATGCAACCCAGAGGGGCCCAGTCTTCCCGGGCGCCCTCTCCCGCCCTGCATTACAGCCGAGGCATCAGAGTGCAGGAGGCGGGGTTCTCACAGGTACAGACATGCCGCTGCCAGGAAGGCGAGGCTGGGCCGAGTGATGGGAGAGCAGGTTCCAGAAGAACACTCAGCCAGTTCAGGATTGTGTAGACGGTGAGTCTGGGAGGAAAGCCAGAGGGCTAAAAGGTCAAAGCATGGGCGAAGTTACAGGGGGCTAGGATGGAGACGGGAAGCCAAGAGAAGCTAGAGGAGAAAAGGGCATTTCAGGGAGGCTAGACCAATGGAAGGAGGGGGTTTTAGGTACAGAAAGAAAAACAGGCAGCGTGCTCGGTCAGAACTTCAGGGTATTCACCTTTTGCGAAAACGAAATAAGATGCTAGCCAATTAATTCAGCAATTCTTTCTTTTTGGTGAGGAAGATGCCCCTGAGCTAACATCTGTTGCCAATCTTCCTTTTTTTTTTCCCTCCCCAAAGCTCCAGTACATAGTTGTATATCCTAGCTGTATGTCCTTCTACTTCTTCTATGTGGGGTGCCGCCACAGCATGGCTTGATGAGCGGTGCTAGGTCCTGGCCGGGGATCCAGACCCACAAACCCCAGGCCAAGGAAGCAGAGTGCATGAACTTAACCACTACACACCTGGCTGGGCCTAATTCAGCAATTCTTTTCAACAAATATTTAGTGAGATGCCAGGTATTCTGCCCTGGGGATACAAACATGAACCAGACAGTCCTAGTCCCCGATTTTACAATATTTAAAGTCTATCATGGAAAACAAACAGGCGATTACGATACTGAGCATTAAGGGCCGATATGGGAGTGAGAGAGGTGAAGGGGCCCAAGAGGGAAACTTTCCACCACGTGGGGAATGGAGACTCCTGGGAAGCGAACACAAAGTCCAGACCTGAAAGCTGAAAGTGAATTAGCTGTGCGATGGGGTCGGGGGAGGTTCCAGACTCAGCTGCCTGTGCAGAAGCCTGATGGTGACATTTAAAGGCAGGGAGCAGGGAAAGACGAAGTCATGCGGAGCCAATGGCTCCACCGTGAAGGGCTTGGCAAACCCCGTTTCAGTTTGGGATCTACGCTGAGGGCCATCCACACCAGACCATAAACTCCATGATAACCCGTGTCTCCACGGCAACCGCACAGCACTCATCACAGAACAGGAGCTCCCTAAGCGATGGTTCACAACTCAGTGAACGGAAGGAGGGCAATGGGGAGCTGTTGCGGTGTTTCCATGCTTTTCAATGGTTCCTAAAAATTGAACTATTAATCATACCAAGTCTTCTGCTTCCCATTAGAGACAAATGACTAAACTTGTGATTGCTCATCATGCGCTCACTCATACTAAAAGAGGAGTCAAAATACAAACAAAATCAGACCTTTGTCTGCGTGGGGATGGCCTGGGAAGGCTGCAGCGAGCAGGCGGAGCGGAAGGGAAATCCTGGTGACTGAGCCTTCTTGCCCGGGGCTGGAATTCTCCTTCCGCTGCTGAGAAAAATAGAAAGCTGCGTGGGGCAACACTGGATGAAGTTTTTGGTTTATTATTGACTTCCGTCTCTCAAAGGGAGCTCTCCCATCCCAGATAATTCAAGTAAGGTGATGGCCCTTCGTCTTTGAAGATGCGGTTACAGACTGTGATTATAACTTGTGTGGCTGAAAGGATGGGAAAGTCACCCTGGGAGACAGTGCTCCACGGGTCTCTTGTGTTTCTGTACATCTTGTGAGCAACGCGCTAGCTGCCCTTCGCTCCAGACGATCTTTCCGACGACGTGTGCATAGCAAACAGCCTTCAAAAAGAGACAGCGTCCTCCTCTGGAGCTGAGGGCGAACACACTTAGCGCCCACTACAGAAGACTGAGTTCCCTGAGCTCAGGCTTCCTCTCCTACGAGGCAACCAGCACGTGTGACTCAGCGGTTTGAGCCCGTGTGCGTTACCCGCTTGGGATTTGGAAGGAAGAAGTGATACAAACAGGCTCATGGTGTAGCTGGTGGGATGAGAAACGGGCTTGCTGGGCCATGAGTACTGAAGGCCCCTGCAGTATCCACGGACGGGCAGGCTACCGTGCTGACAGGTAAAACCTCAGCGCCTTCTCAGACCTTGACACACCCTTCCTAGAAATGCTTTACTGTTACATTTCGACATTCTTGCTCATTCCTGATGAATCTACCTAAACAACGCGGATACTTACACTGCTGCCTACAATACAGTAACTGTTTTTAAAAGACTACAGAATCTAAAAGCCTCTTTTATACACTTTCCCAACATATCTTCTAAAGGGGTAGTAGGCACAAGATAAACAAATGACAAAAATCTTAAGAGAAAACAAAAAAATCAAGAAACTGAACACAGTAGAAATAATCTGGGAGAGAAGCCATTTTTATAAAACATAAATAGTCACTTTTAATTCACTATCTTCCATGATTAGCAGTGGATTCTGTCTGAAGTAAACAAGGACAATTAATACAGTGCAAGATGTCTTGTGTTGTTTTTAAAGAGCCCACTAAGCCAAGATTTGTATCTCTGTATGGAACTGATTTTCAAAGGCATGCAAGTGGTCTCTTATCTTCCTGAACCACTTGTCTTCAAATTCTTCTGAAGATGCGATCACCAAGGCACTCAGGGCTGCTGGGCCAACGCACTTCACCTCTGTGCAAACCTCGTCTTTTAGTTTTTCTGGGATAATATCTTCTCCCATAACCTGCAGTGGGAGGAAAAAAAACACCGGTCCCAATAAAAGGGGCAGCAGACGTGGAACAGAAGGCTATGCCATGCATCAAGTGGAAATAAAGGATTTCACACAAAAGCAGAAATGCTTCAGCAGCCGGGGGACAACTCCGACAATGCCAACGTATTGAAAAGATGTCTGTTCCGAGGAAGCGATCCAGGGACCACGTAGGGAAATCGTCCTGCATTTCTGCTCGCATCTCTCCCTGAGGGAGAAGTCACTGCAGTTCTCAGGGGGCAGCAGGACCCTCTGCCTCCAGGGAGGGCCGAGTCAGCCTTCCGAGGTCAAAGAGATCCTCTGTTGGCCGAGCGCAACTGCAAGTGATTCCGCCCCCTTGTAAGATGACTGCAAAGCAGAGCTTGCACAGAGGACAACTGCTGCTGGGGGAGGGGTGCAGATTCTCTCCCTTAAAAGTTCTCCAAAGGCTTCTGGAGAACTGTCAAAGGCAGCGAACGGGCCAGGAGCAAGTAGCAGGGGCCCCCCTCCGGACCCAGAGAGACAATCCCTCTAGAAACGTCACCACAGCACGCTCAGGGCCTTACGGGCAGCTTGCCCTCTGAAGGCACAATACTGCTCCCTACTGGCCAGAAGCAGGCCCAGACAGACTCTGTGTCAGTTTTTCTTTGATAAGACACCCACACAGGTAAGTCGTAGAAAGTTTGCACCTGAACACGCTAAGTCATCAGCCCACCTTTGCTAAGGACAGTGACCTAAAATTAAGTCCCCAAACACTGCCTACTGTGTGGCACGGAAGGCTAGGGAGCCATCTGGCAGAGATGTTGTACAGGGAATATAAGTCACTTAGATTTGGACAAAATGATCTCTAAGTTTCCTGCAAACCTGAGAGCCACTGTGTTCACGAGCACTCCAGTTATCACGGGTTAGCCGCACTCCCAAAGAACAGTCCCCACTGGCTTCACGTCTTCAAAGACTACGTATTGTTTGAGGCGAGAGCGGACGACGTCATAGCTTAACCAGGCAACCGTCAGCATTTATTAAAGCAGAGTATTTTCATCAATTCTAAGACAATTTTTGTTTTCGTATTTTAACATTTCTGAAACCAAGATGTATCTTATAACCACTGGCATGTCATAGTATAAATGGCATCTTATTTTTCTCTTAGTGGTATATCAAATAATGATGTGTCTTACCACGGATGACTTCTTGGACTCAATAAAATGTAGTATTTTAAAATCTGGGATATAACACTAAAAGTGGTTTTTTTTTAAATTAAAAAAAGAGAGAACTGAATAATAGTAATATCCAAACAATGGAATATTCCAAAAAGAGGGATCAGCAAGTACATCATTCACAGGTGTCAAAAAATCTGCAAAAATATTTGGCCATATAAAAATTTTAAACTTCTATATACCAAAAAATATGAACTTCAAAAAATACTGCAACATATAAAAAGGTTAGGAAGCCTCATATAAAGAGAGAGCACTCTTAAAAATTAATAAGAAAGGGGCTGGCCCCGTGGCCGAGTGGTTAAGTTGCGTGCTCCGCTGCAGGCGGCCCAGTGTTTCGTTGGTTGGAATCCTGGGCGCGGACATGGCACTCAAACCACGCTGAGGCAGCGTCCCACATGCCACAACTAGAAGGACCCACAACAAAGAATATACAACTATGTACCAGGGGGCTTTGGGGAGAAAAAGGAAAAAGTAAAATCTTTAAAAAAGAAAATTAATAAGAAAAACAGAAACATACAAATAGAATAAAGAAGAAAAAGCATGACTAGGTATTTTACAATATATAAATGGCCAATAAATGTAAGAAAAAAATGTTCATCTTAATAGTAATCAAATAAATATTAATACTAAAAAGTGCTATTTTTACTAATCAAATTGCAGGTTTCAAAAAGTAATAAAATTAACTAGATCAATATAAAATTGTTTTTATAGGTCAAAATGACTGAATATTGACAATTTCACATGGTTCAACCTAACACCTAGGACTGGGGAAGAAAAGTCAGTATTCTCATGCACTGCTGGAGGATATGGAAATTGAACCAACCTTTCTGAATGACAATTTGGAAATGTGCTGCACGTCTTTAAAATGTTCATATACTTTAACCCAGTGATTCTAATTCTAGTAATCTATTCTAAAAGGGACAAATACACACATTGATTTTTTTTTTTTGGCAGACCTATTAAAATAGTACTGAATGTTTGTTAAATGTTTAATACAAAGGACTTAAGTAAATAAACAGTAACTCATCCAAAGCTATAATTGGACTACTATCCAGACATTAAAAATTAGGTACTCAAATAATATTTAAGAATATAGGGTCACAATCATGTCACCACATTAGGTAAAAATAAAAAGTAGAAAACGGAATGTACGGTTTGGCAGTTCCTCAGAAGGTTAAACACAGAATTACCACATAATCCAGCAATTCCCTTCCTAGGAATGTACCCAAGAGAACTGAAATCAGGAGCTCAGACAGACACTTGTGTGCCAGTGTCTGCAGCGGCCTCATGCACAACAGCCAAAAGGTGGAAACAACACAAGTGTCCGTCAACAGATGGATGGATAAACAAAACGTGGTGTATATATATGTATATACAATGGCATATTATTCAGCCATACAAAGGAATGAAGTTCTGATACATGCTACAATATGGATGGACCTTGAAAACACGCTAAGTGAAATAAGCCAGACATAAAAGGACAAATATTGTATGATTCCACCACTTGAAACATCTAAAATAGGCAAATTCATAGACACAGAAAGTAGACTAGAGGTTACCAGGGGTTGGGAGGAGGCGGGAATGGAAATTATTGCTTAATAGGTTACAGAGTTTCTGTTTGGGGTGATGAAAAAATTTTGGAATAGACAGTGGTGATGGTTGCACAACATAGTGAATATAATTAAAGTCATTGAACTGCACAATAAACTGATTAAGATGGCAAATTTTATGTTTTATATATTTTTTATCACAAAAGAAAGCAGGGGAATGGGAACTGTTAGAGAATAAAAGAGATGTAAGAGATAAACGAACCAAACAGTATGTGGACCTTACATGGATCCTACTTCAAATAACTACGAAAAGAAAAAAAAAAATGTCTGCAATCAAAGAATGTTGAAGGATATAGGGTCATGCTCACGTCACAACGTTAAGTAAAATTAACAGAGCACAAAATGAAACGTACATTAGAATCCTAATGAGGGCCCAGATGTTTGCCTTCTTCAAAAAGCTCAGGGGTATTTCACATGCATTGTCCAGGTGGAGAACTAGCACTCCAGTCAGTCCAGAGGTACTGAGCATCTCGAAGGGTATGAAGATGTTTAAGACACCTTTAAGGATGTCTTACTCATAAGGATACTCTCACTTATAAGGAACCTAAATCTAGTTGAAAAGATATGACATATTCCTGTATTTTTTTTTTAGGGCCCCAAGAGTTATCTAGTCGAGCAATCACTCTATCTGAGCTCAGAGGAGAGAAAAATTGCTGCAGACCAGGACATTCAGGAAAGCTCCCCAGAGGGTGTGGGACTTCAGCTGGGTCTCTGAGGATGGAAATAGTCAGTAGGTGGAGATGGGAAAACCCATGACAAGTTTGTTAGACACAGGCAGATTCGTCTAGCGGAAGCAAAAGATTTGTGTAAGGAATTACCAGGTCATAAGTTTGGAGTCACCCTCTGGAAGGCCTTACACATCCTATCGAGGCACGTAAACTAGACCTGACCTCAGAGGTAATGGGGACACATTTTAGTCTTTAAGCAAGTGGGTAAGATGGTCAAAGCAATGTTTTAAGATGAACCGAGTAGCAATGTTCAAGGTAGATCTGAGGGGAGGAAGCAAGGAGAGACAAGCCAGGAGGTCCCTGCGAGAGTCAAACACAGGGTGAAGGAGTCGGGTGCTGGCAGTGGGAGAGAAATGAAGGGTGGACCTGAAGGAAGGGTGGGCTTGGTGCCTGGCTGGAGGTGAGACCGGAGAGGGAGAAGCCCACAGCCAGAGAGGTTCTGGGTGTGGATAATAGAAGAATGACAGAGAGGGCCAATGGAAGCAACGAAGAGATGGTTCTCTCCAGCTCCTCTCTTCCTCCTCTCAACACGTCCTCACTGCCGGCCACGAAAGGTTCCACACTACGTGAGGCACTGACGAAAGACTGACTGACGAGAAGTGTTTTGAGTAGTTCCATTTTAGACATTTTGTACTTGCAGTGACAGCAGAATAATCAACAATCATCTCAAATTAATCACTCAGTAGGTAATTAATCTGAGATGTGACACCAGTGTGCCAGAGGCGGGACTAGAGACACAGACTGGAGGATAATCAATGACTAAGGAGGCTCCGGGAAGTCAGGAGAGACAGACAGGGTACCTGGGCTCAGGGGAAAGAGCCCCCAGAAGGGGAAAGGCTGAAAAAGGCTCAGAGGATAAGAGAGGAGAGCATGGTCCCGGCACAGGGAAGAGTCCAAATGAGGGCTTGGCTTGGGGAAGGAATAAAGGAGCCTGGCAATCAGAGACACGCAGTAGGTATTTCTTGGAAGAATGATGGTAGGATGTTCATGGATAGAGAGTTGTTCTCATGGGAAAAGTACCTGAACTGTCAAGTTTCACCTGTAGTTACTAAAAGGAACTGGCGTGAATAATTTCAACACCTAATCTCCAAATGCCATCTTAAGAATTTTGACAGCATATTTTTCATAAAGGTAATAAAGGTTAAAAAAAGAAATTGACATTTGCATTTCCCTGCAATCATCGAAGTAGTAACAGGGTGGAGCAGAAAGACAATGGACTGTAGCTGGATGGGGTCCAGTCTAGCTCTGCCACTCAAAATCTGACCTCAGGCAAGTCACGACCTGTCGGAGCCTCCCTCCCAGCTCTACCCATCCCACGGGCCGCTAGGAGGATGCATGGAGGACAAGACAGACAGCAGTGCTGCCCAAACACCAACATTCATTCATTCCTCTATTTGACACTCAAAAGACAATTACTGGGCATTACGCTGCGCAAGCCGGCGGGGACCAAGCAGCATCCACAAGTAAGTGAAGCACAGCCCTGCCTTTGAGCGTGCAGCCCGAGAAAGATGCTGAAGAGGCCGCTTTCGGGGATTAAGTGGTCAAAAGGCACGTGAAGGAGGGAGACAGACGTCCTAACTTACTAGATGAGATTTGGCCCTGTTTTATAAAACGTGGTATCGGAGCCAGGAAAAATATCTCTGATGCCCCGTTTCACATCAACTCACCTCAGCTATCAGCAGCAAAGCGTCTTCTTTGAAGCTGAACCCTTTCACTTTATCTTCAATTTCCTGCTGAGTCCTCAAGTTCCTCTCCAAAGCAAACGAGGCTTGCTGAGCCTGGGCGAGCTGCAGCAGGAGCCTGGAAGACAGGAAGTCCCTGTGTGCAGGTGCCCATCCGGGGCAGCGGTGGGGACACGCCCCCCCCCATGCAGCGCAGGCATCCAGCTGGACGGGGGCCCTCGAGGCTAAGAGGAGGGGCTCACCCTCGTTTGGATCCTAAAGCTTCTCATGAACAAGCTGCGCAACTCTACGTTGGAGAGTCATCTTTCCTAAAATGCACAGACCAAAGCTTCTCAAAGAAACCTTTAGAGCCAAACCTCAGAAGGGCTTCCTGCATGGTCAAGTGATCGAAAGGGCAAGTAACATGGAGTGAAAAGAACCAGCCTCCCCATCGAAGGCTCCGACCCCGGAAGTGCTCCTTTGAAGCCAGTGTTCTACGAACCTTCCATCTCCCTGAACCCACAGCAAACTGAGCTCAAGGACCAATCAGACTCTCTGGCACACCACAGCCACCCAAACAGGCCCAGATCTTTGCCGACCCTCCGATGACCACTTGGCAATCGCCTTACTGCTAACTTTCCCACCATCCTGATCATAACCTGGTCTCCTCTTTCCTCCTCCCTTCTGTCCTCCTCACATGGCTCCTTCTCTTGCTTTTTAAAATATTGAACATGTAGATTTTTCCAATTTCCCTCAGGCCTCGCTGGTCCCTATTGCTGTGCCCAGAAGCACTCAGCTCTCCTGCTCACTCACCTCGTGTCTTGGGGAATGTCCCACACACTACTCTAGACCTTGGAGATACTGGTGAGCAAAACTGACAGGTCCCTGCTTCAAGGAATGCAAGGAGAGAGGTGGCAAATAAGTAATTTCAGGTGGTGATGAATGCTAGGAAAAAAACCCAAGACAAGGCAGATGAAGTGTCTATCTCAGATGGGGCAAGGAAGGCAGGCTTTTCTGAGACCACTCAAGCCAAGACCTAACTGAGGAGGAGCCAGCCACAGGAATATGTGGGGGAGAGGGTTCCCCAAGGGGGAAGGGGGCCCCGACACAAGAACTAGCTTGAAGTGTCTGAAAATCACAAAAAGGTCACTGAGGCTGGAACTTGGCCAGGGAGGAAAAATTGGAGTGAATGAGGAGAGAGAGAGAGGCAGGGCCAACTCACATCAGCCCTGCAGGCCACGGAAAGAAACGGGCAGTGGGAAGCCACTGGAGAGGGTGCTGGAGACACGACCTGATTGACACGGGCTCTGTCTCCATGGCCCACCCGGCCTCAGGAAGCCAGGTGCACACACATGACTCCTTCTAGGTACCTGCTTGCCCCCTCCTGCTCCTGAAATTACTTGAGAATACAGCTTATACCAGCTCCTGGCACTTCATGCTCATTCACTCCTCAACGCTCTGCCATCTGCCTGTCACCCCGTCACTACTGAAACTGCCTCTCACAGGTCACAAATGACCTCCCAGCTCTCAAATCCTCTTCTCAGGGTCGATCCTGACTTCTCACCACCACCTGACTGCTGAGCTCTTTCCTGAATCTCCTTCCTCTCTAGCCCCCTTCTACTGAGCTCAACTCCCATTTCCCAGTGAAAAGCTCCAGCTGGACGTCCTGGATGTCCAGGTGCCTGAATCTCAGCACACCTAAAAACCTAAAGTCATTACTTCCACCTAAATCTTGTCCTGTCTCAGGGAAAGGCACCACCACCCACACACCCACGGTAGACTCTTCCAGAGTCCCTGACTCCTCTGTCCTCCCCTCCCACCCCGTCCTTCCCACACACTCAGCTGGTTCACCAAGTCCTGTCTATTCCATCCTCAGTGACATCCCTTCCTCTTTTATTACCACTGCACTGTCCTGGGTCAGGTCCTCAGCACCATCCCCCGATACTCCACAGCCCCTTCACTGGTGGCCCTGCCTCCACGCTCCTTCTGCCACCTCCTCCCAGCCACCAGATCGCCCTCTGGAATCACGGGTCTCGTCACATCATTTCAACATTTACAACCTACCAACACTCTTAAGGCCTTCCACTTAACGTCTTGTACCAATAAAAACAAAACCCATGGAAGTACGACGTTCACCAAATGCTTACTGTAGACCGCGCGCTACGGTAAGTGCGTCAGACACTTTAATTCTCACGACCCCACGAAGCAGACATTCTCCCCATTTCTCCAGCTTGTCAAGATGAGGAAACTGGAGATCAGAGAATTTAAGTGGTAATGGGCACAGGTCAGACAGCTGGCAAGGGGAGGAGTCCAGACTCATTCACTCAATAACAACAATTTACTAGGTTCCTTAAAACGGGATCTGACTCCAAAGTCCTGCCTCCCGCTAACTGTGCGGGCCCAGCCTCCTGGTCATCCACCGCCTCCCTCTCGAGCTCCCCGCACCAATGCTGCTCTCATCACACCAGACTACGTGACAACACTGTGCTACACGGGCCCTTCCACCCTTTGCGCTGTGCTTTTCTTTACCTGCCACGCCTCCCCTCAGCTCAGGAGCTCCATTGCATGCAGTCAGCATGGTATCCTGGAAAGAACACAGGCTCCGGAGGCAAAGACTCGTGTCCAGCTCCTGGCAGCACTGCGTAGCTGCATCGCTTTGGGCACGGCTGTAAATCAGTTTCCCGGTCTATACAGTGGGATCCCAACATCTACCCCCGAGGGCAGTGAGGATTGAAAGGAAACAGCGTACACCAAGCCTCGAGCACACATTTATCCACACAGTGACGAAGGTTCCAGAACATCCAGCAGAAGCACCACCCCGTCTCTAACGGCTTCCTTCTTCCTGCCACACTGAATAGCTCCCACGTGCTGGTCCCCACAGAGTTCCGCACACGCTACTGATGCTGTTTAGCACCCGTGCGGCCAGTCACTGACTATACGCGTATTTTCCTCAATACAGTGTGTAGTATAAGGAAAGAGACTCTTTCTTTAAGGATCTTTATGATCCCAGCACCCAGTAGGCACCTGACACACTGTTGCCATTCAATGTACTTCTGAATTAAATTGACATTGTCAACACTAAATAAACATCTGCGGAATCAAGTTTAAAATCCGCCAAATAGATACCACTTCTCAGTAAGCCTTACTGTTAATCAATATTTCTTGAATTCTCCAGAGTCAAAAAAAAAAAACCCCTCAACTCTATGTTTTTTGGTATTGTTAGAGACCTAACGGAGTCTGTTCCTCTCACAAATTACAGAATTGGTCCAGTGTACTCTCCCCTTTCCTTTCAACTCTCATACTCTACGGATTCAAAGTATGTGGAGTCCCTAAACCACGGGAATTCTCTGTAGAATGCATTAAACATCGATTGTTCACATTATTAATAGTGATTCAAACACAAGAGCAGTTTCTTATTCAGTAGATTTCTGCGGAACATACAAGCGAAAAATTCCTTGTTTAGAATACCTCTTCCCCTTTTGTCAGCATTTTATACATTTAATTTTCTTTTCCTAATTTTAATGTTTTCCCATTTTAACATTTTATATTGAGTCATGATACAAGTTGCATTCTTGAGCAAATATAGTTTTGTTTCTAAATCTTACATATGAAAAGGACACATTCAAAGGATTTGCTCTAGAGCATAGGAAAACTCTGAAAAACATAAACCACGTATCCAGCCTAGAACTGTTTTTGTTTTGTTTTGTGAGGAAGATTGGCCCTGACCTAACATCTGTGCCAATCTTCCTCTATTTAGTATGTGGGTCGCCACCACAGCATGGCTGATGAGTGGTGCATAGGTCCGAGCCCAGGATCTGAACCCACCAACCCCAAGCTGCTGAAGTGGAGTGCATGAACTTAGCCACTATACCACCAGGGTGGCCCTTAGCCTAGAACTTTTTAAAGCTTAAAATTAGAACAATAAAACCTTTACTCCAAGCTTAGGACCACATGTTTTTTGATCCCTTCTTCATTTACCTGGTTCGTATAAAAGAAGCACATGCTTTCATCTGATTCTCTAGCAACACTGCTTCTCTCTTTTCTGCCGTACAGATTTGAACATTTTTAAGAGCTTTCTCTTTCTTCTGGTTATCACTGCTGCTTGCTTCCATGGGAAACAAAGAGTTCTCAGGCAACGTGTCAGGGAAACACAAAAGATGGTGTTTTCCCCAGTGTGGAAAGGAGGATTTGATAGTTTTATCACTTGAGGTGAAATTGTTCTGCTTCTGAGATGACGCACACGAAGCTGAAAGAGCTGGCCCCAGATTCAAGTAAGCCTCTGCCAATTTGCCCCAGTTCCAAGGATTAAAAGGATGCAAAGAAATCAGTTTCTGTAGGCAGAAAATTGTTTTCTCCAAGTTCTGCAAACTTGAACAAATAGCAAACTGGAGGTAGAGCACGGTGGTTAAATGGTCTGTGTTAGTTGCTTTATTTTCCTGAGGAGAAAAAAAGAACAATGAAAACTTTAAACTGCAGAATGTTTTCCACACAAAAATAGAGATGCCTAAAAACCCAAGTTGTGTATGTTATAAATTAAAAGTATCTTTCAGTAGCTACAGAAGTAGAGTGAACTAAATATTTTTCAACAGATCTCAGTTTGCAGCCAGAAACCTAGAGAAATATATACAACTTAGCAAAATAATCACCAGTCATCCCCAAAATCCCAACGTCATAACAATAACATAATTCATGTGACAGTGGCCTTACAAAAACACTATGTCAGTGATTTTCCATTTTTATTACAATCTTTATTGTCTTGAGTCAGATATCTAAAAGACCCATGGCCAACTTTTTTATACCCTGGGCTAATGGTTCCATTTTAATATTCCAGGCTTTCTAAAATTCCAATTGGTAATTTCCTTGAGGATTCAAAAGGCTCTATTTCCAAATTGTTCTTGGCTTAGACATCTTACCCAGGATAGCCCTGAAGCTCTCCGTGTTTCACGATGCATCATAATTGAACCCAAATGCCTTCCCTGGTAATTATTAGGCCAATTACTTTTGACCAGAGGGGGCCACTTGGTTTCCTTCTGATGAGAAAATCCTTTTCAAGTCCCTTTAACCAAAGCCACCGCCTCTTGCCTAACTTGCCGTATGGCGACAGCCCTGGGGGCTGGGGAAAACAAGCCCTCTTTTGCTAAGTTAAAGTCTGCGGAGAGCAGATGGCAGACTAAAATTACCTTTCAGTTGATTTGAAGTCTAAGGAAAACCTGGCCTACCAGTTTCCAGACCAAGCTCCCACACAGAACGAGACGGAGCAAGAAATACAAGCAAAACCACCCAGGATGCAGCCCGAAGAAACTGGCAGACCGGCGAGTGGAAGTTTGGGGAGGATCGTAAATATTCATATATTGAGAGAATAAAGCTCCACGCAACTACTTGGTCATCCTGTCCCTTCCCAGCGACAGAGCTTATCCGGTCTTATTATTACCAGTGTTTAGTCTTCTGTCCTCCCCAAGAGAGCCTTAAGCTCCAACAGCTTCTGCTGAACGCTGATTCCCTTTACAGAGCACAGCACCTCGGACACAACAGACGTTTTTTTTTAACAACTGCTGAGTGACATGTCTTCGCGCCTTTATTTACAATAAGGAGAGCAACAGGTACAGACGACCTGTCACAAACGCTCCCTTTCTTCGACACGAGTCTGCAGTGCTTCAGACTGCTGAAAACCACGTCCACGGTGAGAAAGCAAGCGTGTGCTGAGGCTGAGGTCGTCACATCCAAACCATGATTTGGAGGCGAGGGTTTCAATGGCATAACCAGTAAATAACTCTCTGGAAATTAAATTGTTTAAATGAGTTTGCGTGATTTTTTCCAGAATATCACACCTCCTTCTGTGTTGTGATGATGGTGACAACAGTTAACATTTACTGAGTGCTTACCATGTGCCAGGTACTATTCTAAGTGCTTTACTCATTTAACCCTCATGACGAATCTTAAAAATAGATTCTATTATTATCCCCATTTTATAGATGGGGCAACTGAGACACAACAGAGAAGTTATCTAACTGGCCTGACGTCACACAGCTAGTAAGCAGCACAGCTACAGTCAGTCACACCAGAAGTCACAGAATAAGGCGTACTTCAGATGCACTGACGCACGGTGGCTGCCTTAGGATTCTCCCACTAGACACGAGACGAGCAATGCATGTGCAGGGGATGGATATGGCTTATCCGTCTCCTCAGCACTGAACCCAGAACCGGGCACATGGCAGGACTGAAATAAATGTCTGTCGAGTGCGTGAATGAAAACGAGTCCTTTACTCTCAGAAAGCAGTTTCCTTATCACGGTTTATCACATGAGCATAGGAGTCGCTATAAGATGTTTAAATTATTTAAGAAATACGTTCTATTACAAATTTTACCCAAAATTCACTAAGAAGAGGGGTGAATAAATTTCAACAGAAGTTGTGAGCATAACATGTTCGTATCCTGACGGCCACTCCAGAACCAGGTGTCTTGTTTCGTTCAATGCTGTATACTGACCTGTCACCCTACAGAACGTGAGGGGACAATAACCACTGGGACAAAAAACAGAAATGAGCCAGAGCTAATAACAGGAGAGGAGGGTCTGTAAGTAGGGGAGAAATTTAAAAAACAAAACAAAAATGTTATCTGGAACCCAAAACCCAGGTACGAGGAAATGAGAAAACCACGCAAACAGGCAGGGTCCACTGAGACCACGTGCAGAGACCCACAGAAAGGGGTGAGGCCCACTGGCCCACACTGTTCGTTTCCTTCCTGTCTCCCCGACGGGGTGCCCAGAAGCCCGACGCACAGTTCTCAAAGTCCCGACAAGCGAGTGGAAGGTCTTCTGACTGGTCCCTCCCCCCACCTGGAGCCCATCCCCGGCTCTGGAGACCTGACGTCTGCCGACCGGCAACAGCTCTTTCTCTGAGCCACTGAAAGAGACACTTAGCAAGCGAGAAGGAACCACAGAGAGAGCAGAACAGTAACGAAGGACGGAACGGATGTCTAGAAAAAGGTGCCAAAAGAGCCCAAGTTGCTGTTTGCAGACCAGGGGGACTGAGAAGGAACACTGTTAAATTGCACCGAGTTCACTGTTCACGCCATGTGCTTCCTTAACAAGGTAATTGTATCTTCCAGTTTAAGAATTAACCCACAGTTGGTAGAGGGGAGAAGAAAGAACAAGACACAGCTGTTTTCAGTGTTCTGAAGACAATTACCGCCAAGGTTTCTTCTCACTGCAAGAGCATGAGGTCCTACGCAATGAACCCCTGGGCAAGCAAATTTCGGGATTTCTCTTAGATCAGGCGCCGGGGCGGGGCGGGGGTAGGAGCCTCAACCGCAAGCATCCTTTAGGCTGACCTCTGGTTGACCAGACCCACGGGGTTCGAGGTCAGGCCTTGGCGCCTCATTAATTCCTTCTGAGGGAGAAAACTGGACATCTATAAACGAGAACTGGTCAACTTTGACCAATCCTCATATAAAATTTACACAGACAACCACAGAAGAAAACCATCAATGCCTTAACCTGAAAACAAAGACCAGTAGAATCCAGAATTGCAAAGAACTGCTTTTCTTTATCCTTTAAAAAGAAATCTTTAAATGCTATTTAAAAATAAAAAGGACTATGAAGCTTGGGTTAGAATGATATTTAGTCATTTTTTGGTAACTTTTTTTTCCTGTTTACAAAAGTAATACTTGTTCATTGTAGAAATTTTGGAAAATAAAAAAATGTAAAGAAAACAGATCACTGATAATCTTTCCACTCTGAGTATTTACACCTAACAAGAGAAAAACCTTTGCAAATGAGATTTTCAGGCAGTGAAGAATTCTGAGCATCACACAGGAAAAAATATTACAAGAAAATGACCACGTCTCAAGCCCCAAACTGCATCCTAATGAAGTTCTCACACCGCTGATAATCCTCTTCTGCTCACCCAAACCCACCGAGTTTGCTGCCTGCAGGAAGTTGTTTTTTGTTTTGTTTTTTAGAAAATGAACTATTCGACCATCCTAGGAAAGCAAATGAAAATAGGCAAGGAAGCCACTCACCAAGTCCGCAGCGATCTCCAGCGCTTCCACATGCCTTCCCAGGTGAACTAGACACCGAGCCCGGCCTTCCTGGACATCCCTTTTCACGGCAAAATTCGTGGATGGCAACTTTTCAGAGATACTGGAATACTCCTGCAGTGCCTTCTGGCAATTATTTGTTAAATAAAGGAAATAAAGAGAAGGGAAGAAAAGAAAGGTGGGTCACACAGAAGAGAAAAGGATTCAGTTACAGGGATGATTTTTTTCCCCAGGCCGACGGTAATGTTATAATAGACCCTACGATGAACTAAGGAAGACGAGTATTTCAGTCAGCACTATTTCTCTAAAAGGGAGAGATGAAATGGCTGGAGAATATAGCCACGACTATCACGGGAAACATCACACTCTAGGAGAAAGAGCATTCTGGAGCCAAATGGACCAGGGCTTGAATCCTGGTTTTGCTACTAACTTGCTGTGTAACCTTTTCATCAGCAAAATAACAAGAGGACTCTCGTGAAGATGAAATGAGATCTAGATGGAAAGCAAGCTGGCACCCAGTTATTAGTTTTTCCCTTTTCTTACATTTTGGAGTGCTTTCCTCCTGTGACACCAGGAGATAGCTGTGCTAGAGGCTCCCACATAATGAGGAGATGCAGAACGTGGGGAAACAGACCTATGAGGATCCCAAAAAGATCCCCATGTGGAGTTACAGGAAACAAAACATTCTATCGAGCCACGTAGAAAGGGACAGAAGCTAGGGATTCTAAGATTACAAACACTTACCACAAAAGATTAAACTTATCTTCCAAGACAACACCCTCCTCGCCTAGAATACTGTTATTTAAACGTGCTGTAACCGACAGAACAGGCGCCCATCGCGAGTAGCAGCCTGGGAAACGCTGAATTCTACCTGGTACTCTTGCCGTCTGTAGGCCAGGTCCCCTCTGAACTTCTGGACAGTTAGAGCTTCAACATCATCACTGCTCCCCGTTTCTTCGTAAAACCACTAGAAATTGTGAAAACAGCATATTACAGAGAATGAAGCTAGGCTTTCCCACCTCACCCTCACAAGCAACTTCTCATGTATGAGTGATTCAACCTCGAAAAAAACAAACCATACTTCTTCAGGATGAGACTCAGAGGAAAACATCTGACAAAGAAGAATGACAATTTTATCGATAGCCCAGTTTTGCTAAATTATCACAAGTAATAAACACACAGTAGTATGAAACCTCTCAAGTAAAGAAGCAGAAAAGTCCATGGTTTCATCTATAGTGTTTTCAATATGGGGTGGTGGTGCCTGGGAACCTGCATTTAACTAGCACAGTTCACACTGGTATTTTAGACTGAGACAGGTGTTCTTGTGAAGATGTTCAGAGTGGATGGAACAGGGGTTGACAAGTCTTTACAGAAAGGACACAGGAAAGAATTCCCATTACAGTGCTATTATGAAAATGTTGTATAAGCCAAAACTGGAATCTAAGCAAAGATGAGACAGAACTTAAGGCTGATGGGGAGGCTCCGCAGCCTACTGCCAAAGACCTGCAGGAGAAAAGGCTGAAGATGAGCCCATATGGAATATTTTATGCGCTTTTCTACTGACTTAAACCCTATGGATAGAAAGGAAACCGAGACTGAGCTTTCTTGGCTATTGAGTAAAGAATAAGATGAGAAAACAGGTGTGACCAAAAGCACTCTGTGTCCCAGGTTTACCAGCTCCAAAGAAGGATCTCATCAGAGTAAAACACACTGAGGCTGAAGGAAATCTATCCTCAGTTAAATGCTATCAACTCAAACGTAAATGCATTTATGATGGTTCCAGCATCACGCTGAAATTGCTTGGTTCTGTTTCTAAGAGTCGCCTGGGTGCCACTGCCCCCGTCACCTTAGTACAACAGTTTCTCTCCTGAGCCTAACCCATCACAGTGGAGAGAACTAGTCACTGTTGTTTTTCTGTTCTCCCTCAAGCACCGTGTAACTCAACAGCAGTCTACATGCAGAACCCATAACTTTCCTTTGCACTCGGCTGCGCTCCAGTCACACACTCTATGGGATTATTAGCTAGTCCCAACTTCTTGAACCATAACTGCATAATCGCAAACCTCCGTCCACTTTTCCTTATCCTACTGGGAAATGATCAAGCAAGACTGGCTTTCAAAAGATTCTTTTTCTTCTCCCATATAACCTGCAGGCGCACAAGAGTTCAGACAGGGGATGGCTTCAAATACCCCTTTCTGATAAGAGGAAGGAGGGAGCAGCTGTGATCGGGGATGGGACTAGGAGGTGAAGTGCTGGATAAGGCCAACATCTGGTCCCACACAGAATCCGGGCAGGAAGGGACAACAGAAATCTTCTAACCCAGACTCCTGGTTTGACACTTAGGGAAACCAACATGACTTGAATGACGCCTCTTTGAGTTTATGAACAGTATCAAATACCAAAAAAATTCTAAAGACAAATGATTCTTGGATTTTACTTTTCAAGTATACAGCACATCACACCTGACAAAGTATCTCATTTTATTGTTACAATAACCCTGTGAGCCAGCAAATATTCTTTTTCCCAAATGACAAATAAGGAACTGACACCTTGAAAGGCAAGAGGTAAAGCCAGTGGTGACATTCAAGGGTCCTGCCTGATAACCGCAGCTGTACCACAGTTATGTACTAAACATAACTTTGGAAGACTGCATGTGGTAAGGAGGAAATGTAAGTGAAATAAAGTAAAAATACAATTCAGAAATTATTGAGCACCTGACATCTGTTAAGTACAATGGTTGTAAAGAAACACCAAACAATAAACATAAAGGAACCCAGTACAACGCCTGGAACAGGTAACTTTTTGATAAACAGTAGTTATTATTGGCAAGATAAAATTTACACACATAAAATAATACAAAGTAACACTCTACTAATTAAAAATACTCGGAGTTCCTATTATGAACAAAAACTGCTAGGCACTGTCAAGAACATAAAGTTAAGCACCCGTTCCCATAGGATCATTTAGCACTCAGATACAGACAAGTACTTTAATAGAAGCTCAAAGGGGAGAAAGGAGTCAAAGACAAAAACATTTGATTGGAAGAGGGAACCAGAGAAGGCTTCTTGGAGGAGGCAACATTTAAGATGCGCCCTGAGAAATGGATACAATTGAACGATTTTGACCGTCAGAGGAGGGTTAAGGCGCGCAGGCGGAATTCACAGGACAAGGGCAGGCCCGTGGGTGGGACGTCACCGTTTGGGGAGCAGACAACTCCAAGGTTTGACAAGTGGGCGGTGGCCGGATTTCTGGGGGTCCGGGCTGCAGAGTCGGAGAAGGCAGAGGGGAGTTACTGCGGATCTTCGAGCATCTCAGAGCAGGGTGTGAGACCAGCTGCCGTGAGGAGACCGGCCAGACGCCAGGTGCGCGCTCATCACCCGGTGGGGCTCGGGAGACGCCCGTTCCGCGTGGGGGAAGGGACGACGGGGATGCTGGGGGCGCAGAGGGTCAGCCCAGGGAGGCGGGGGGCGGGGGGGTCTGGGTTCAGCGGGAGGCGACATGTGCGTGGGGCGTCCCAAGCGCCCGGCTGGGAGCCATGGGGCGAGCCCGGCCCTCTCACCTGCGGCTCGCAGCACTTGGCGCGGTAGGGCGCGGGCGGTCCGGGCCGCCGCTCCCGCCTCTCTTCGAACACCGAGTCCTCGAACTCGCCGCCGGGCCACCAGCACCCGCTCTCCATCGCGCCCACGGCCGGAGCATCGAGAAGAGGCGGTGCCCAGAGCGGCGCCCACGTGCGGGCCGACACGGAAGAGGCGGGTCCGCCAGGGCCCAGAGCGCGGCATGCTGGGACTTGTAGTTTTTGGAGGGGCCTAACCGGGGCTGCAGGCGTGCAGTCGTTATTGAGCTGCGATTTTTATCTGACTCACAAACTTGTGAACCCGTGTTTGACTTCTCTGTTTGAGGAGATGGACAGAGCGATTCTTACGTGCACGCATCAAAATCGCTGACCCCAGGGTAGCTGTTTAAAACTGGTAGGTACTATTTTTTCGCCACTGACGATATTCCTGGCACTGTATTAAGCACTTTTTTTGCATTATATATCCTCTCCTAACAAGTTATGAAAGGCACAGTGATTACTATTTTGCACAAGAAGATATTGGCGCTTAGGGAGGTTAAGTAGCTCGCTCAGGATCGATTATTACGTGGCTAAGAGCTGGGAAATAAAGAAATGAGTCCGTATTTCCCGTGTCTTCCGAGAAGAGACACCACCACCTATAAGAAAGGTGAGAGTAATTGACGCGGTTAGAAAGCAGAGGACCTGAGATTCACTGCAGGGCCCCATCAAGGACCATTCATTCTACCTGGAGAAAAACCCCAAATCCCAGGATTCTAAGGCTAGCATACTAGAATTCTTATACTTTCAAGATATTCTTTGAGACTGAATAATAGAAATTGTTGACAAAATACCGGCCAATATTGCACAGCACAATATTACTGTGCCCTGCTACACGGCAGGTGATCCACGTGGAGGGTTTCCCTGGTTTTCCTCTTATTTCTCCTGACGCACCAGTTCTTCATCCACCATTTGTCTTCCAAGGTTCTTTCCTCAACCCAGTTTTCTGTTCCACAAACTCACCCTATGAAACGTAATCCACTCCCCAAGGTGTCGCAATCCGGCTCTCTGCTGATGACTCCCCCAGTCCAGAACCAGCCCATAGATCCAACAGGCCTGAGTGGAAGGCTCCACCAGGACAGCCTCCAGGCACTAGCTACTGATGAGTTCATCCAGGGAAGGACCATTAAAAAAAAAAAGAAAAAAAGCTTGTTCTCCCATCAGAGATGTAAATGTCCTTATTAGGAAAAATTTAGAAATTATAGAAAAATTAAAAATATATTTATATCCATAATATCATCACCCAAAAGGAATAGAGTCTAAAGAAGGTAGAGAAATTTGCCCTAATCCTAAAATGCCCTGTCCTAACAGAAAAGTCAATACAGCAGTGTCAAAGGGCATCAAGCACCGGATTTGTCTGGGTTCATGATCCTGGTTCAGGTATTCACTAGCCACGTGACCCGATTTGTGAAGTGGGCACTGAGTAAAATAATGTGTGTAAAGTGTCTGCCGGACGGCAAGTGAGTAATGCATGTTCATTCACAATTCCCGTGCCAGGGCCAAAGTAAGAGCAAAGCAAAGGCAGGCAGGGAGAGTGTTTTCAGGTTTTTCTTTTTGAAGGCTGTTTGGTTTTAGAACTTCCATCCTCTCCTGTTCTGAGGCCTCCCAGGTCTAGCCTCCTCCTGGCCCAACAACTAACTGAGCTGGTTGGATATTCTGCTGAAATGGGTTGGAAGGCAGGGAAGGGCAGTTTATGGGTAAAAGAGAGTTCTCTGCCCTTTGCACTCAGGATTTCTGAGCTCGGGTCTCCAGCCTTTTTACTACTAAGAACGCTGTCAGTTATTTTTCCACAGAGTTGTGGAGGATTGATGTACACAATAAAGCTGTATTTGTTAACTAAAAATTTCTTCATTTTCCTTAAAAATAAAATTGAATCTAAGTCCTATCTAACAGCCAATCCAAGCTTCTCCCAGCCTGAACCTACCAGCATTGCCTCGCTGCGTGTTAGGATTCTAGCGGAAAGCGAAGAAGTAGCTGCTGCCGACCTTGGGCAGGCTGAGGAGGGGTGAAATGTGATTCATGTGGGGCCTCTGGCAATAATGACAACAGCTGAAAGACCCCTGTCGCTACTGAGGACCTGGGGTCTGCGATCTCAAGTTGTAAACCACTGCTTCAATTGATAGAGAGGCCCCGGGATAATACCATTTTAAAAGAGGCGAGTAAACTAATAAAAGAGAGAGAAGGGCACTTTTATCCACTTAGGAAAATATACCTTGTACACTTAGGAAATGCCTGGTGTTAGGTTATGTTAGGGAGTAAATGGGTATGCTGCAAATATCTAAAATTGTATGAGTGGTGATAAAAATAGATTTCTTTAGATTTTCTGTACAAATCTGATTTTTGATTAAGGGGTGTGACTGAGTTCCCCATGGCAAGGTAGCATCACCTCCTCCAGGCAGCCCTCCTTTCTTTTTCCTGTAATTCCACCATGCTTCTATCCATTGTGGCCTTTATCACACTGTGGACTGTTGGAGAGTAGAGATGGTGTCTTTTTTACTCTCATAGACTCAGCCCCTAGACTAGACCCCTAGGTCTTGACCCCAGAGCAGCTCAGTCAATGCCTGTTGAATGGACAGGAGATGGCAGAAGGAACAGACAGGAGCACTTCTTAGTTCTAAGTCACTTGTTCACGTCCCATCTAGGAGTGAGGGAGGGGAGGAACCTACATTTATCGAGCATCTGTTATTATGTACTAGGTTGTGCTATGGGCACCCTATTAACTTTCATTAATTCTCACACTCTCTCTCTCCCTGAGTTAGACATTATTATTCCCATTTTTACAGATGAGGAACAAAGATTTGAGAGGTAATTTGTGCAGGGTCCCAGGTCGTGAGGAGAAAAGGCCAGATTCAAAGTCAACTTTATCTGGCATCAAAATCTGTGTTATCAGCTCTCCTCCAAAAACAAGATGGCAGGGTTTCACGAAGACAGAACTGAATCTGCCACTGGCTGGCTCTGCCTGCCTCATATTCTGGAGCCTTGGGGACTTTCATTCCTTCCTCTGTGTGTCTCTGCAGAATGGCTTTCTCTGCCCTGCTTGTACACATCCCAAACATGGCCTCTGAAACCTGGGCAATTCAAGTACGCAGAAAAGAATGACTGACATTACTGTGTGTCCCAATTCCAGGTTATTGACCAAGACACTCTATTGGGCCAGAGTCAGACCGGTCACCATTTGAGAGAGCTGCAGGTTCTGGTGGTCTGCCGGTGGCTCAGGAGGGACTGTGCTCTGGGAGGTGACGGGAAGCCAAGTAGACATACATGTGTAGTCTGCAGGATTTGCAGCCACTGTAGCAGGCAGAGCACTGGGATCTTTGCCTGGGCCTTGGCTGGGGGCCCCTGAGCCCAGAGTCTAGCCACTCCTGGTACATTACTCCACAGCCCTGGGGTGGCTGCCAGGGACAGGACGCTTCTCATTATACTCAGAAATTGCAGTCCTTCATGCCCTTCCCAGTCTTGATTTCCCTCTTGATTTCTCTCTCTACCCCTCGAAGGTGCTCTGCTCTGGAACACCAAAATATCATCTTTGACCATTAAAGGTGGGAAGACTGGTTGTCTTCAGAGTTTCTGCCTTTTCCCAGAAATACAGACCTTCTGTGAGGCAAGAGGCAGCCAGATGAAGTTCGTGTCCAGCCCTCAAGGAAGGGTGTCTGAGGTTACTGCTTTCCTCCCTGGTCCAAGGGAGGTGTTAGGGGTGCTTTGAAAAAGCCTGACACCTTTCTAACCACACCCTCCATAGCTAGGCAATCAAAGCCATCTGCAACCTGTTGCCAAGCTCACTCATACAGTTTTATTATTTTTTTGGTGTTTCTGTTTTTACAGCTTTATGGAGGTATAATTGACAAACAGTAAACTGCACACATTTAAAGTGATGAGTTTTGACATAGGTATGCACCTGTGAAAGCTTCCCCCCATCAAGATGATGAACATGTCCATCGCTCTAAAAGTGTTAGCCCTCTCCCTCCGCCATCCCCTTAGCCAAATCCTGCTCTCGGCCAGGCTGGCCCTCTCTGGCATCGGCCTTCCATATTCTCCCCCGAGTCTTCCCTTCATCCTGCAACCTTCATTGCCCTTACCAGGTCCCGGCTCCGGTTCCTTTGTCAGAAAGGCCCCTCCCAGTGCCCTCCATCTGGCTGACTCCTCAGAAGCCTTTCCTGATCCCCCAGTCTGGGTTCACACAGTACCACATGCTTCTCTCTAACAAGGCACTTCTCGTCCCATACAGCTCTTGTCCATGCTCACTTTTTTGTCCCATGCTTGCTTGTCCATCACCCCCAGGAGACAGTGAGCTCATTCTGGCAGGGACTGGGTCATTCATCTCTGTCTAGCACCGAGCAGAGTGTCTGGCCCCCGGTGGGCCCTCACTCCAAGACTGTTGAATGGGTTAACCTTTAGTCTCTTTGCATATGAATCCTCTCCCCTCTACACTGTACACTCCTCTGGGGCAACACTGGGTACACAGTTTTTATTTATGCATTCTGTGCATAACCCATTGTATTACTGAGGGTCTACTCTGTGCCAGGTGCTAAGGATACACCACTCATGGGCCCTGCTCTTAAGGAGCCTATATTAAGGTGGGGAAGACAGATGATAAACAAGTAAGCAAGCAAAATATTTAATTACAGATTGTGGCAAAGTGCTAGGATAGAGAATAATAGAGCTTGGCAGCCTATAAAACCCCTTCCATAATGAAATCGCATCTTTCTCTCCTTTTTTAACCCAAGCAATTTTGCTCTGAGCTTCTCTGGATATTTGTAAATATTGCTTTTTCTCCTTGTCCATCTTTTTTGTTTCTCCTGAGCAAAGCATACCCTTCCATTACTGGCATGAGTTCCATCCCACTAATTTTCATGGGTATTTATCAACTTACATTAACATATTGAGTTCACTCATTTCTTATATCCTGTAAACTTTTTTTTTCTTTAAAGATTGGCACCTGAGCTAACATCTGTTGCCCATCGTTTTTTTTTCTTCTTCTTCTCCCCAAAGCCCCCCAGTACATAGTTGTATATTCTAGTTGTGAGTGTCTCTGGTCATGCTATGTGGGATGGCGCCTCAGCATGACCTGATGAGTGGTGCCATGTCCGCACCCAGGATCCAAACCAGTGAAACCCTGGGCTGCCA